CCTACATACATAATATATACCTATGGCTAAATAAAATAATAATGTACTTACATCGAATACATACGAACGTTTAATTCTCAAATATTCGTTATCTTTTAAATAAACTGTTGAATCAAAATCAAATATTTAAATTGTCTATAAAAAGTTATAAACTAACATAAATACATAGTATGTATATAGTGTATACATGCAGTAGATTTATGTACCTATAATACTAAACCACTGATTTGTCAATGCAAATGTAAAATTTAAACATTTGCAACTTTTTTTTGTTATTGCACAATCGTGTAATGGATTATGGAACAGCCACCTAAATTAAATGGGTAATTAATAATTATAGATACGTTATAGGTACATCATATACACTAGTATATTACGACTAATAATGTATATTGGGTGTTCTCTATAATGTTTTACTTACTAACAAATTCATTTTATATATTCAATGTCTTGAAATTCGATTTATAGTATTTATACAATTTATTACCACGGTAAATGTAATTTATTTTCCATATTATTCAAAACGTCTACGTTGCAACTAATCTATAGGACATCAATACAGGATTATTAAAAAATTATTAATTTTAAAAATTACACAAAACTATTTTCTGATGGCTATATGAAAGCTAGTATCTGCATGTACCTAGTAGAGAGCCTTAATATTTAAACCTTAATTATTAAGGCTCTCTAGTACCTAGTATCTACGTAGATACGAGTATATATGTATATCGATATAATACATAGTATATCGTATATAATGGCTATAACAGTTGAACTAGAATAATTTGGTTTTAAGTTATAAAATATTTATCTACAGTGATAAACATGATGAGTACACCCTATATGGCTAGAATGCTATACACATATATGATATGTGCAACGTACTTTTTACTCGAGGTTTTACAATGTTTATTTTATGATAAAGTACAATTCAACCAGGCTTATACCGCTTATTGCTCGGGGTATAATATAATAAATATTATGTAGGTTGGTAACCTAGTTGGTAGATATACATTGCGTAATAATGTAATATAATTTAATGAATCTGAACAAAATAGAGACGTATCAAGTGGCGTACAATACACAGAAACTTGAAACTTCCAATAAAGGGTGGGGAGTTCTATTTATAAATATATATATGTCATATTTAATAAAAACCTTTTCACTTTTTTTATCTAGTAAAAAAATACAACAAGGGTTTGACAGACAACCCCTCTCCTTGTATATACGTCACTGCGACGTATATAAAAACTGATAGTTATCTTCTATCGACTATCGAATTTCACGTATTTTCATTTTTCAGAAGTAAGTATAGGTACAGTGTACAAATTATTATACTGGATGTATCTACAATTTATTCATTTATTATATTTTAAAACTTCTTTTCTTACAGTATAATATTATATTCAATCGGAATAGTAGACTTATGTAGTAGTTATATTATTTTACATTAGTACTTATAATATTATATAGGTAAGATAGGTACTTTAGGTAAGTATTATAATATATTAATAAGCCCCAAACTAAAAAAAAATACATTCAGAATTAATTTTATAGAGTTTTATAAAACATATTTTACTTTTAAGTCTTAACATATCCATTACACAAAAATAGCAAAATTGGATATTTTCAATTTCACGGTACCTACACATATATTACATATTAATATACTATAATGGATATTGCCATACCTGTATACTGCACATATTTTAACTTTATAGGATAACGTTTTATACATTTGATATTGGTCGGTAACCAATACCGAAAGAACTTCAATGTCGAATGCATTACTTACTTAGCGATCTATAAAATACAAAATCATATAGGTATAAGTTCAACAACAATAAAGCAAAACGACAAAATATGAAGAAAAAAAATGGTCGTCTGCATATTTTACGTTTAATCAAGAGAAGAGGATGTTCCCACACACAACAATCTCAACTATATATGATCCACCTTAACATGTCGGCCCGAGATAATTTATTTAGTTTTCGGAATGTAAATTCAGTCGTACATATTTTATTTTATTTATTACCCAAACATACCGTTGAATCTTTGAAATTTTTTAAGACCTCATAATGGTGACACGTATACAAGAAAGCTCCTGTGGACTATATAGATTCAGCGGCTTTACACGCCGACGTTGCTCCAATTATTCAAATTATTTGAATTATTAGAATTTCAAAAATGTGACAAGGAAATTATGTGCAGTGTTATTGTTGTAGGACGAAGATACTTCACCCGTGCATCATTGAACTAAAAATATGAAATGCGTATGCGTTCATGACGTGTACTGACGAAGGCTGTTGCAAAGTTGCTTCTTAGACGTCATAATGGTTTATAGTGATGACATTTTAACATAATATAATCCATACAAAACGATGTCGCATGATTATATACCAAATAGTTGTTAACATGTAGATTTTATTCTGCAAAAATCATATTATCAAGTAACGGTGTACATATTTTGGCAAGTTTGGCATTATATTCTACGACGTATTTTAAGTACCAGCTGCTAGCAATTAGTAATTACAATTTAAGTCAGGACATAAATAGTAAATAATAATAATAATAATAATTAAGAAAAGGGGGAGGAGTTTAAAATATGACGTATAAGAATAATATTGATTAGTAAATTATTAAAATTAATACATAAATATTAAATACTATATACACACGTCATAATGTCATAATTTAATATGTACATTTACTATAGGTATAGCTCACCAATATATCCTAAACACGAATATAATCTTAACTGATAATAACAGCAATGCAAATAGTGAATACGTATGCGTATTACATATAATATAATATTTATATAGCTATGTGTCGGTATATAACATTTATATAATTATATTTGTATTCATGCCAAATAACAAGCGTTCACTAAATTATGATTAAAAAATAATACAAATGTATATGATAGTTATGTACCCATATTATTTTATTACGTCATAAATCATAATATATATTAATATATTATTATATAGATAGTTCATATATGATATAATATACGTATAGGTACAATAGGTACATAGTGAGTAGGTATATACATAATTTAATATAATAAATAAACCTGCATATGTACATTTAATCCATATTTTTCAATGTATTGATATTATATTATAAGGTTAAACACCACTCATGGTGTAAATAATAAAGTTTCTATCGAGTACCTAAAAGATAATAAAATACAAGGGGCGGTCTATTAACGTGCTATAAGTACCTACCGATTTTCTAATAAAATATTTAGAGTTATATTTATTTTCTAAAATATGTTTTAAATATAACATCTGCTATTTATCTACCGTACTTAGTATAAACCTAACCAAAATATGTAGAAGGATAAAAACATAAAATATAGGTATGAAATACACCCTTGATGCAGGGACAGATCCAGGGGGCCTAGGGGCCCAGCCCCCCCCCTCCCCCAAACATATTATTTTCCAAATTTTTTTAACGATTGTACATTATACGTAATATCTAATCAGTCTAGGGTGCATAAACTTAGATTGTACTATCTTAGTTCATGGTGGACAGTGATTCCGATATAGTAATTTTACAATAATAAAAAATTGTCCCACCCCCCTAGATCTTTGCTCTGGATCCGTGCCTGCCTTGATGCAATTGAATAAAAAAAAATTTTTTATCATTGTAAGATATTAAATGTGGACGACATTTTATAATATATTATACTGAATCGCCAAAAAATGTCTATAAACTCTTGTTAAAAACAAGGCTAAAAATATGCAACGAAATGACTGAACATTTTGTTTAAAACTTAAATGGACATTTTTACAATTGCATTGTTTAAATTAATATGACAATATTATTTGGTTAATTAGGTAACCTAAAACACATATTCCACTGCAGTCCACACTTCAATAGTATCCAACTTTCAAAAATTAATTAAAACTGTTTATAGTTCCAAAAAACAATTATTAAAATCACGGAACTATTGTACACAAAACACAAGACACAACTAATTACTTATAAATACAATGTGCTCTCAAAAATAAAATTACGCATATGCGTGTTAATAGCTTAATTTACAGTTTTTGTTTTAGTAGTATTCTCACATTTTTAAATTTTGTGTATGTATAAATGTATAATAGATATTAGCTACTGTAAATTCTAAGACCCCAACTAATATGACATATTTTAGATAAGATAAAAAGTTTTTATTTACATATACTCTATAGTTTGTGCTCTACATAATAATACAATAAAATATTATTGTATAATGTAACTTACGGTAAAATGTGTGGCCGTGTGGGCAACATCTATACATTAATGTCATTTGAAATGCCTAACTAAAGGCTATTCAATATTCATACCTTCTAATGATATTATATTTTAACTGTTCACTAATACAACTTGAAACCAATAGAGTTTTAACGGATTTCTCTTTTCTATAGTACGTGCCAAACGAAAAATGTTGATGAATTAAATTTATCATTCCTTAAGCGTTCTATTATTTTTACAATTATTGTTTAATATTAAATGTCCTAATGACGTATTGTATAAAGGGATTCCGTTATTTAATATTTTGGATTACTCTAAGATATTTAAAGTTTTAATACATAGGTTAATAGGTACTTGATCGATTTAAAGCATGTAAAAATACTTTTCATGGATAATTTTTGTATACTTAAAATAATAACATTATATAAAATCATGTCTACCTATATAAAGATTAATCTACGTCAGGGGTCGACAACCTTTTTACTTACACGAGCCAAAAATATTACTAAAACTTAAAAGAGCACTACCTGCCACTTAAAAAAATATAATGAATTTATTTTTATTTATTCTTCAAGAAGATAATGGGTCCCACTGAACATGTTCGTGTAGGGGCTCAAAGTATTTATATTAGTGTTTTTAACATTTTATATTATCAAAACATATTACGCCTAATATTGTATTGTTATTATGTTATTATAGCTAATATATTAGTATATTACCTCGTCGACATTATCAGAAATTATTATATTCAAAAATGTCACCAGAAAATACAAATCAAACAAAACAACTAAAGAACACTTTTAGATTCAACATTGCTTATAATTTATTATTGATTTAAATGCGAGTCTAAATGCTGTTTATTGTCTTATTTTTAACACTAAAATATTTTTTAACTGTGATAATAATGTTCCTGAAGTTTAAAGTACTAAATATAAAATCCAATTACATAAACAAAAAAAAAGTCATGCGTTATTGGAATTTGTAGACAAGTATAACATTCGATTTTATTGCAAAATTCTGAGGACTATAATAAAATTAATATATCTACTAGACCATTGGTTTTTTTTCATTTAAATTATTCTTATTAATTTTATTCCGCGGCCATCAATGGGTTAACAATAAATTGTAGTTATTACAGAGAATGTAATTTACATGAGTTGTGCACTCATCAAATACAATATCGTATAAAATAAGCTATTAAATAGTTTTAATTAATAATGTTTAGATTTTGCTGAACGGTTTTGAGTTGAGTAGAAATTTCAGTGTGGCTTTAAGGCTGCGTGGGTCTGGATTTAGGATTTCGGAAAAGTGATTTAACTGCAAGAGCGTTTCCCTCCTCCACACTGTTATTTGTTATACTACAAAACTCTAGTCTCTACGTACGGTATCCCAGGAAGTTCATTAAATTGTTGTGAAGTATTTGTATCCATAGAAACCAGAGTTCCATTTAATCAGTATAACGCAACACTCACTATTTTAATACCAATAAGTCTTACCAAAGAACACACAATATATTACAATTATCATAAAAAAACATTAAAATGTCTGTAAATGCAAGTGATAATTTATCAATTGAAAAAGAATTGAAAATTGTAGTGATAGGAGAACCGTCTACAGGAAAGGTAAATTATTGATTCCATACGTAGTCTAGAAATAATACATCGAAAAGTTTTATAAAAAAAATAAAAAAAAATCGTACTCAAGCGCATCTTAAAATCAAAGTTTTTGTACAATTTATTTAGAGTTGTATCGTGTCTAGATATTGCCACGATGATTATACAAGACAATATATACCAACGTGTGGCGTAGAATTTTATTTAAAAAGAACACAAATCCAAGGTCATAATGTCAGAATCAATATTTGGGATACAAGTGGATCATCTAATGGACTGTTAACAAAATACATTTATAACGCTGATGTAATATTATACTGTTTTATACTTTTTGTTACAAATTAATAACACAATTACAATTTTATAACAATTTCAATAACCATTTTGAATTAAACAAATTAACTATCAAAACACATACTTTTAACATAAAAAAATCATTCTTTATAAATTCTTTCTAAATAGGCAATCATACTAGTGTATGATATAACTGACTGTGTTTCGTTTACGGCTGTGTCAACTTGGTACAATAAAGCAATAAGTGTTCAATATGAAAATGTACCAACTTTCGCTTTATTTTCAAATAAATGTAAGTAACTATCCTTTAAAATGCAGAAATTAAAACATAAAACATGTATACATAGTAGATTTGCTAAAACTTAAAAAAATGGCTGAAAAGCGATATTTTTAACTTATATAAATTATCTTTGAATACTGGTTAGTAACTATAATTAATATAATAATAACACTATAAGTGTATAATTGTATTACAATGACATTAGCATATTAGAATAAAATAAGAAAATTCGTAATTATTGTATTGTCTTTTTTCTTATAATATACTGCCTGGCTACAAAATTGTAAGCTTTATAGTTACATTCTTACATATTTAAATATTTAATAATCAATTAACCTGTAAATTGAATGAACATTAACGAATGCACCTAATTTTTAATAGATAACATTATGTTACAATGTTACATACACAGGTGATTTAGAACACAAAAGATCAGTTGCTGAAGAAAAACAAATATTATTTTCAAAAGAATTTAAAATACCGATTTCTCAATCAGTATCTGCACGCACTGGTGAAAATGTAAGTTAAAAAACAAACAATAATTATTAAAACCTTACTTTATTTCCTTTATTCAAACAAATTAATGTATTTAGATAATGTTTGCTTGGCAACAGTTAGTGGCCGAATGTTTGGGATTAAAACTTTCGAAGTTTGATTTAGAACAACATTTAGTGAGACCTGTAAAAGCAGAAATCGAAACTACAATCAATCAGTATAAAACTATGATGTCGAATCAACAGCAAAATATGTCATCTACAATTTGTGTCATTCAATAGTCGAATATTGTATACAATAATTAACAACTTAATGAAGTTATGTTAAGTGAATTTTTTTTTGTGGTTGGTTTAATAAAATCAAATTTAAATTTAATTAAAACAATACAAACGAATACGAACATAATAAAATATTAAGAAAATGTGTTTCCATTTATTATTTGAGAGAACTGAACGAGATCATTTATAATTATAATTTGTTGTATTATTATTCATGTGGTGTTGTGTATTAACATTGGTTCAAACATAAGAACTTGGAGAACTAAATATATTATCTTAGATACCATGCATTTTAAATGATTTGAATTAATATTTATTAATGTTTGATACCTAAATAATGTTAAATTTAGTATTTTGTACATTTAGGTAGGTATAAAATTTATTTTATAAACATTTTTTTACTCTTTAGTTTTTATAATATTTTGTATTATGGCTAATTGTTATATAAATTTAAATCTATTCCGTCAATGTATAGGTATATTACAGTCTGCGTAATGCCGTGGCATATGCAAATCGTATTCTTAATATTTCTTATGTAACAATTAATATAAAATAAAATAACAAAACATTTTGAAATGTTTTTATAAACATATCAAATATCAAATATCATATATTACACACACACACGCACGCGCATTAAATCAATGGAAGGTATTTATTAAATTATTAAAATAACTAATATAATAGTATCTAATCGGTTCAATAACGAATCATCTAAGCGAAAACATAAAACAGTATACCTATTGGCTATTACCTATATTACAGTAACCCTTGCTACATTATCTCTATTCTTAATTTTATTACGTCTTGGCCACCGGGTCATTGGCGTTTAAATCAATTATTTTTATAAAGTGTTGAATTAGAGATATACGTTAGATAAATGCGAAGGTAACTATACTAATTACCAATTACGCTGGGTACAACATAATATTATTTATTATTACCTAAAATAAACTTTGTACCAAATAGATTGAAGTCAATTGCACATGATATGTAGGTACATTGAGACATAATGCACATTAAAGATAACCTGATATGTAGTTGTTCAGTGTTATGTATTTATGTATAATTAAAGGTTATGACTTCATACGTATCACATATTATAACCTGGTAGTACATCGTTTGATAATGTATTTCACTGTATACTAAAGATATTTTAATTCAGACGAAATCGAATTAGGAACTAACTAACAGTTTTTTTAGCATCCAACAAATAAATAATTATATATTATGGGCCATTTAGGATTTCGAAGTTAATTTATTCAATCGAAATACCTCGTCATTGAAATGAATGTATTAAATTTGAATTCAGTGATAAATCACTGTACTATAAGTACCTAGTAAGAAAAAAAATTCTGAGAGAAAGATATATGCAGATCAGCATCTACATTACTTAGAGTAATTAAATAAACATCAATAAATTTTATTTATTAATTTTAATTTAATATTATTTTAATTTATTATTAATAACATTTTCTCAATTCTATACCTACAGGTTAAACAAATCTTTGCCTAAAAACATCTCACGCCAGCTATTTTTTATATGTGATATATTTTTACTCTTTTTCTAGATGAATTTTATTTTATGTTAAATTTTTTTTTAATACAAATATTATGTGCAAAATGTACATAGTGCACATAGTACATTTCTATAAATAGGCTTAAATTTTTTTTAATGAATAGTGTAATATTACTATTGTTCGAGTGTATGTTCCTTGATATGTCGATTAACCTTTAAAATTCCTGCTACAAAACTTAATAGCGACGTATATTTTATATTAGGTAAAGTAGAATAAAGTGATTATCTTAAAATTAATCTACATGTAGGTACTTTAAGATTTCATTGTGTATGTAAAATAATTAAATACGCACGATGGTGAATAATATTATAAAATATATATAGGTTCCTAATTAAATGCTTGAATTACAACAAAAAACCTCATATTGATTTTTTTTTTTAATAAAAAATGTTGACAAAATGTACACTAAAAATACTTACAAACTATTGTTTTGACAGTTTTCGATGTTTTAAAAAAAACTAATCAGGATCCGTATTTTAAATTTTGAAGACAGATATTCGAGTTGAAAAAATTATTTATTTTTAACTACAAAATAGTTTGCAAACTTTTGTGATTAGTGATTACCTACAATAAACCTGCTTAAGTCAGTTAATTAGCCAAGTATTAGTTATTAAATTTGAATCATTGTAGTTTTGAGATTATCATTATATATTTATGATGTATAATTTATATTACACAGTGATTGCCATAACCACATAAGCCAAATGTATTGAAGTTTGGGAAACTGTTCAGTTTTTTTTTATATGTAAAAGAGTTACAAATGTGGTATACCTATAGCCAATACTTCCGTGTTTATTATTTTTTCAATATAATGTATACCTATTTACACCATATAAATCAATAACATCTGATACACTGTAATAATTATTCATTTTAATGTTAGTTTTATGTATAGGCATATGTATAATCTAAATCAGCGTTTCTCAGCATGTACAGGTACACTTACCATTAGCGATATGTGGAAGGCTCATAGGTAGTACTCGAACAAAATCACTCTTAAAAAAAAAGGAATGGTCAATGGATCATTGTTCATATTAAATATTTTTTGGTTTATTTGATATCAAATAATAATTTGAAACTTAATACTTCATTTTATTATTGTGCATTAAATGCCTATACTGTCATAACTTTTTGGTTACAAAATAAATAAAATTCCATACATGTAAAATAAAGTATACATTTTTGATAATCAAAAAAAATATGTTATTTGGTTAGAGGTGCATGAACATTTTTTAACTGTGTTAGAAGTACGCGGATATAAGAAGGTTGAGAACCGCTAATCTAGGTTCTAGATTTTTTTTATCTGTAGAGAAAAATACAAACTCTTTTAAATTGTATCACTTAAAAATAAATACCATATTGAAAGATGAAATATTTATATTTACATATGTTAATAAGTAGCACGTTCTTGAAATGTTAAAAAAAAACTTCAATGTAAATTTGTTAATAAGAACTTTTTTGAATATTATTATATTTTTTGTATCTAAAATTAAAAATATGTGTGGGTAGTATTGATAAGTTTCCAGTTAATTTGACCATGCTACAAAAAAGCGTATAAAAATACTTTTTATCAACCATGTATTCACACTAATCTATTAAAACTTCAAACTCGCATTAAATAACTTACTTCCCCTCTTATCCGTTTTTGTTTAAATTAGAATTTCGAACATTCAACACAGTAAAAAACCATTTTGTAAGACACGCCTGATATATATGCTAATAATGGGTAAATAAAAAAATGTCTAGCACTAACATAATATTATACTAGAATATTACGAAGGTCATTTTTCAGAAGTATAACGCTTCAATGTATACCTAATCAATTTGTATTAGTTAAATCGATTAATATTTATTTAAACAGGTACCTATGCGGCTACATTTATATTTTCAATCACAACTGAAATTGTCCACTCAAGTAGCTGGTTGTAAAAAGCTTTTAAAGCGAATGTTATATAATTTAAATAATATTCGCCAGCGATTATGGTTTGTAAATTGTAATCTTTGTCTCTCACACGTGTAACATACCAAAAACAAGGTAAGTAATGTGGATCAGTTGGTAATTATTTTATTGGGAAATGATTTTAGAGTTAAGACTAACAATATTATATAAATCAATATTTTCAAGGGCATCTATAATACCCTTTTATCTTTATAATTATTAATAAAAATGTTACAACTTAAAACTATATACAAGTAGGTACTAAAATATAAAACCTAAAAATGGAAATGTATTAAACTTTGGTTCAATAAAAGTAAAAACAAAAAACAATGTTTAAGACTTCCTCGAGATATTGTTTTGTTTTTTTAAATAATAGTAAGCGTAGGTATATAAGCTCAAAATTCACTTACCAATAATTTATGAGTTTATGAACTTGTTTTTGCTATGTCTTACACGTGTGAGAGACAAAGATAACAAACCTTGGCATGGCATAGTCTTAACAGACAATAAAACTCCGATACACCATATACGTCTTAATACTTGTAAAGTCAATAAAATAAAGAACATTGCATTGTACATGAATATTTTAAAATCGATATCTCTCGGAGAAATATAACTTTAAAACAATTGCATAGTACCTATGCACTATTGCACTGGTACACTATTTTAGTAATTTAGTTAAGTTTAAGTAAATAATATTCATTCAAGGTGTATACAATAAATTAAACAATAAATAAATGTCAATAGTCAATACTGTGTACCTACATTACATTAATTAGGTACTAAATCAATAATTATTAATCATATCATTTTAAATTATTAGAAACGAAAACAATCGTTACAGATTTCTGACAAGTATATTGTGACATCTAACTTAGGTATTAAGCTCCTTACGCATCTTACAGGAATGTACTTTACTATGTACATTCATAAATACTTATCACAATTTATAGTTTTTTGTTCTCGGCGCAACAGTTAGTAACAAGAAAATGTCCAAATTCAGTTTTGAATAAATATTAAATCAGATGCTTGTAGGTATACGCTTTAAGCTCATGCAAACTGTTATTATTATTGTTATTAGCAATCCAATTATATTCAAATAACAATGAAATCAGTATTGGTATAATTTCCGGTATAATATCGTATTTTTGCGGAAAAAAGTGTTCATTTTACCCCCCGCAAAAGTGCATGAATTAAAAAATGACACGTCATTAATCGGTTGGTTGATTGTTGAATAAAAAAACAACCGATCAATTTATGGAGATACCTATAATATAGCATTGACGGAAACAATAGTCAAAACAACAATACGGGTTCGTAAACGATCGTTTGTAATTTACTTTACTGCCCGTTCCGAGTAAATATAAGGATAATAAATTATACTCGGTGATAGGTATATTAATATTATGTTGTATACTCAGGTGCCTACATTATTATGTAGACATAAACATGAATTCGTTTTTTTTTTTATATTTATAGGTGTCAAAAGCTTCAACAACACAGGTTTCTAGCTTAATATACGTTATATTAAATCAAAATATTATAAAGTATTGCGTATACGGAGCGATCGGGAAGTATTTAATAATAATAATAATAATAATAATAATAATGTATATATTAGTTACGATGTACCTACATTACGGAAAATCGTAGACTCGAAGAAATATACCGATTCGCGTGCATACTGCATATACGTATAAACGTCACATTGAACTAATTGACTACTATAATATATCATATTATACACTTATAGGTACCTACTACGCATTTGTGTTGTATCGGGAAAATTAGCATAATAAGCGATTGTATACCTACCTAATCGCGAATACAAGAGCAAGTCGGTCATTATTACGCCGCGATCGTTGTTGTGGTGATTTGGAGTGTTTGTTTGAAATGGGAATGAACCGCAACAGGACATTGGCGCGGAGGTAAAAAAAAACACAATTTGTTAATTAAACTAGCCGATAACGGCGGCGACACCGAGTAATGGACCGTTTAAACAAAAACTGTACAAAAAAAACCCATAACGCGAGTGCGCCCATTGACTATTATGACGCAGGCACTACATAATTGTCACAGGCAAATTAATGAATTCATTTTTAGTAATTACGTTTATTATGCGCGCAATGATCGTGGAAGTAATACATATTATATTTTGTAATTTGTGAGTACAAGCTATAATTTTAATCAACGCGTCCATTGAGATGACCCGCTTGTGTGACGAAACAGAGTGCTTAAATAATATAATACTGTGTTGGACGAGGACCTAAAACGCTAGATCGGAGGAGGCGAGGAACGGAAAGAGACTTCTCTGAAAGCGAGATCGTCGATCGTTATTATTACGCGTGAAACTATGAAAGACAATAGTTTTAATAGATAAGATAATAATTATTATTATAATAATAGGACTTGGGAGGTCGTTCCGAGTGGGATCGAATTTACTATATATAGCTGTCACGTGCACTCTCGATATAGAATACCGACGACGGCGCCGTCATAGATTACACATCTATTCTGTGCTATTACCGCGGAGTGTCCGAAAATCGTGACGATCGGACATTCGGACGACTCCACTGGACGACCTGCGGACGGACCTCTGGCGGCCACCCCTCCGGACGGCGCGATAGAGCCGGTACTGCTACTATTATAGTACTACCACTACCGCTACAGCGGCGCTACTCCATTATATAACATATATATATATATATATATATATATTGCCATTACGAAACCGTTGTACTCGCCGCCGATAAAAGTGATATCGGCCGAGTAACGTGTTTTCGACGCCGCCTTATCAAGAGTTTCCGCCGACACGTTAATAACAAACGTCATAATAATATTATTGAAAAAAAAAAATTGATAGATTTATTATTATTATCATTATATACTTTATTACCATTACCATTATTACTATTATTATTATTATTATTGTTTTTCTCGTAGTAAGTTCGTTGGCGTGTCCGCGTGTAGTGTACCTACTTATCGCGTAGTACGTCGCAGCCGCACTCGTAGTACGCACCGTCGCTGTTTCCTGACCGTCTCCACCATAGAAATAAGAGGTCTCTCGTCACTGGTCGTCGTCGTCGTCGTCACTGTTGCCCGAGGTTCTCGAGATCTCCGTTTCGCGTATGATTGTCAGTATTATTCGTGCCTTTCATCCGGACCGTACGTTCGAAATACACGACAATAATAACATCACACACGCGCCACATTAATAATAACAATATTATTGGTGGTGTTCTGATAATATTATATCGTACGACGAAATAGTTGTACAAGAGGTACCTACTATTTACCTCGCGCTCGTGTTTGCCTTCGGTAGTTTTGCACAACACATACGTATTATATTATTATATACGACTCGATATAATAATAATAATAATAATAGACGCATAAATATAATAGTGCTAGTATATTCTTGAAGCGATTGTGTGCACACGCAATCGCGTATCTCTCCGCGTTAATTTGATTTACGCACAACTCGTTTTACCTGTTTTTACTTTTATTATTATTTTCCTCGACCAGAACACGGTCTTTTCGTATTTTCGTCATTCCTGCCGACTGCATTATGGCTGACGCGTTTTTTGGAGGTATCGAAGGGTAAGTCTACGATCAAAATAATATTTATTAATCTAACACCATTCGTCTTCCCAACGGCCGCGTCACTGTAATATTAATTGCACGTATTTTGTGTGCGCATAATAGGGGAGCATCGGTTTCCACGGTCGTCATAACTAACGGCAACGGAGACATTTTAGCTGAACTCAAAGGAGAAGGCACGAACCCGTGGGTAAGTATTATTAGTATGTATAGGAGGCACCAACTTGACACTTATCTATGGTATGTAAGTAGGTATTTATTGTTCATACTTACATAATATGTAAAACGAAATCTGATCTCTTTTTGAACAAACACAGGTACCCAAGCTTGGTGTTAAGATTATAAAAGTTTGAAATACAGTTAAGCTTTACATCAGTTTTCATGAAAATTACTATCTATTGACTGTTAATAGATACTAGGTAGATAATAGTTTAACAGCCTACATTTTTTATTTTCTTATCAGACTACATAGATATAATTAGGTACCTAACTAATATAATGGTCCTCTTCTTATCGTATCCGGTGCTGGGATTATAAAATAAAATAAAATAAAAATATTTAAGATAAATTATAAGTACCTATCAAAATTCAATAAAATAATATTGATACATAAAGTTTAAAAGTCAAGACTTTTCTTTGCTATAGTTTTAATTATAACAATTTAAATTATTTATCTACTTTTTATTTTTTATTTTCTACGTAGGTACTCCACATTTGAAATTTACCTTTCTCTTAACAAATACATAGATATTATAGTCATTATATTCCTTAAATTTAATTTATATTTGTATGAAGTATGATTTGTATGAACAAAATATTGTTCAGTACAATCAATACGATATGTACCTATACTTAATAGGTAGACGGTAGTACCTACAGCCAATCTTAATTAATTAAAAAAATAAACGTATGATGTTGGATCATTCACAATTAATACTTTCCTAGTTGAGCTCTGTTATTTTTATTTAAGTACTAGTCACATTTGTCAATCGCCTATTTTTAAAGTAATAATGAAGTTACAATAAAAATATAAAATATAATATAGTTCTGATCACAGGGTTAGATGGTCTTATAGGTAAACTATCTTAGCCTGTGGTTCTGTTAGTAAAATAAGCAAAAATAGAACAGATTAACTGGACAATCTAAAAAAACTCAATTTCTTTGTAAATAACTGTTAAGCAATTGATAAAAAAATATAAAATATATTGTAGGTATAAGTCGTTCAATTTTGTACACCACATACCATAGACCTATTGATTAAGATATGTAAAGTGCATTTCAAATATGCTCATTTAACATAATTTAGTATATTTAGTTAATTTTATTTTAAGTTACAATAATGATTTAAAGTTACATTATAGATATTCATGATCAAATAATATTTATTTTTTTAGCCACTAAATAAATTAAAGATTGTCCATCATTATTATCATTATTGGTTAAATTTGTATTGTCTTAATAGAATCTACAAATTAAATTAAATTAAATATGGTATGAGAAGAATAAATATGATAAATAGTAAAAAGGTAATAATTTTACAAATTATACAGATATCACATAAATTAACTAAGGTTTCTTATGTAATAATATATCTATTTATCTATTTATTTCAAATAAAATGTGTTTAATTATGGCATGGTTTATTACATCCTGAAATTTTAAGTAACACGTGTTTTTGTGTTCTGATTCATTAATCATATAATGTTTGTTAGCATCAACTACCATCTATTATTACACATTAATTACGTACTACTTTAACATAACTTATCTATAAACAGCTATTGATGTTTGTAATATTTTGTATACTATGTCCATGTGTGAATAGTGATAAGTTAATACTTTATTGATTTTTTTAGACAATTAATATGCTATCACTTTTGACCATGTAAAATATAATTCATTGTACTATGTTTACAAAAAAAAGACTTAATATATTTTATGTTTGCATAGCTCATAATTTAATTTAAAAAATTAAGAAACCAATGTTGTAGATAGCCCAATTTTTCAAGAATATTCAGATTTAAGAACATAAACGGATCTAGCATTAAAATTACCACCATTTGTTTTTTTTTTTAATCTAATATTATAAGATTATTGACGTCAAATCAAATACTTAAAAGGTCAAGTACATCAGAATAAAATAGGCCTTATCCATGTGGTTTAAAGCATGTCCATATTATAATATTATTTTAAGTGTTTAGTTTTATATTAAATATTAACAATTATAATTATCAATGCAATATTAAAAAAAAAATTTTAAGTCATTCAATTTTTTATCATTTAGATCCTTGGAATAGAACCTTGCCTGTCTCGAGTCAATGACTTAATTAAAGAAGCTCTTAGGAAAGCTGATCTTAATAACAATATAAAATTAAATGGATTGGTTTGTATACATTTAAAAGTGATTTTACTGTACACATTTTGTTTAATAATAAAATATATCTATTTATAGGGATTGAGTTTAAGTGGATGTGAAGATCTCATTTTCTGTAAAACGTTTGAGAATAAACTATTAGAATGTTATCCAGACCTTACTGATGAAGTAATTGTTGTTAGTGATACATTGGCACCAATTGCTTTAGCCTGTGAATCAGGTATTTTAAAAAAAAACTATTTAGTGAAAATAATGAACTGTTCATTAATATTGCATTGCATGTATATTTATTATGAATACAAATTTATTATTTTAAAGGCGGAGCTGTTATTATTTCTGGTACTGGTTCTAATAGTCTACTAATAAATCCAGATTCATCAATAAAAAGGTGTGGAGGTTATGGTCATTTACTTGGTGACGAAGGCAGCGGTAAGATATATACAATTTCTAGTTGCCTTCCTTTATAATTTCATAAAAAATATTATAATTTAATTTGTTTTAAATGAAAAATATTTTTCACTGACAACATTGTGTATTTATTTTTTAGCTTTTTGGATAGCATTTAAAAGTATCAAAGTATGCTTGGATCATTTAGAAGATTTCAACTATGCGCCAAATGGTTACTCAATTAACAGAGTATGGGAAGCGATTAAAGCACATTTTAATATCGATAAAGTGTAAAGTATATGTCACTATTTTATTGCTAAAACATAACATTAAGTATATGAAATTCTATAAAAAATTATATTTTTTGCTCAATCTATGCAATTATTTGTTTATACTTTTACCAAGTACTGAACTTAGATAACTACTTAATCCAGATGAATATGGAAATCAACAATTTTTTTCATTTAAACTATTAAGAAATGAATCACTAAAAAGTGCAATACAATTTATTAATATACATTTTAATATTTTAGTTTTAATAAGTTATTTTGAACGTCAAATATGATTATATACTAATGAAATAGTTAATAATTAAAGTAAAACTATTAAAGTAATGAAGTTTTGTAATAAGTGCTAATAACCAATAATTAATTTATAATCAGTCTAGATTTGTTGAATGTATTTTACGGTGAAAAAAAAGAAAAATCAGAAATAGCTAAATTGTGTAAAACCATATCAGAACTAGCTGAAGATGGAGATGAACTAAGTCTGTGGATCTTCAGTGAAGCTGGAAAAGAGTTAGCAAAATTTATACAATCACTCTACCCAGGTGCTGATAAAGTAAGATCTTATTTAAAAATTAATTACCACATACTCAAATATAAATGCTTTTGTTTTGTTTCTAAATTTTTAACTTGAAAATATTTAATTTTAATTTTTAAAAGTAACTAAAATAGAAACACACTAAATTAAATTACGGGAAACTTATAAGTAAGAAAAAAATAATAAATCAATAGTTTGACTGTTTAACAACTCGGTAATTATATGTTAATGTGATTTTTCCAATTATTTATCATATTATTAACACACAATTTGATTCAAATCAAATATTACTCTAATTACTTTTCTTAATTACCTATATATTATGAAGCTTTTACATAAATTTAAATATTAGACTTCTATAAAAGCCCTACATTCAAGAAAGATGGCAAACTATTTAGATAAGAAACTTAATTGTAAGAAATTTTATCTATTTTTAAGCTCTGCAATTTTAGTTAGAGTATATACTCTTTTAAAATGGTGGCTGGATTTTTTCCTGTTCGATAATTGAGATAATTATTATTTTATGATTGGTGAATATATAACCTGTTATGTATATTGTTTATAGAAATGAAATTATAAATAAAATAAAATGCTCATGTTTTTAATATTAATGTGAGTCTTAAATTATAAAAAATAAATCATAATTTGCTAATGTTTTGTTTATATATATAGAAGTTACATAAAGAAAATGGTGGATTGCATGTGGTGTGCGTTGGATCTGTATGGAAAAGTTGGGGATTACTCAAAGAAGGATTTATGAATCAACTTGATCACCACCACAACTCACAAGAAACTGTAGTAGATGAATTTACCTTATTGGTGCTTGAAAAGACTGTTGCTTTAGGTGGAGTTTATCTCATTGCAAAAAAATTAAATTTCAACTATCCGTATGATTATGAACATAACTATAGAAAACTGTTCCATTATGTACATGACCGACAAGGTCAATAATACTAGTGGAAATTGAATCAAAAACAAATGTGGCCTTACCAATTTAAATTGTAATTATTGGTTATAACAATTATGTACCATTGGGTCTTGGATTGGTGGCCTATGCTCATTTTTGTATACTTGTTATTTGAGCACTATACATTTTGTTATAATAATTATACTTTACTTAATTTGTTAATAGGTTTAGAATATTTATTTGAATGCCAAACTAGTTTTTAGTAGTAACAAATAACTTAGACTTAGGAAAAATATACACTGTCAATTAACCATTCTTTGTATCCTTATTGTATTTTTAAATAGACCAGGATAAGTTAGTAAAATATTAACAAAAATCACAAGTTTGGGGCCAAATAGTTTTATTGTTAATTTTATTTTAATCATTGTTGTTATTTGTTTTTATTTTAATTTATTAATTTACAAATTTTTTTTTTTTGTCATACTGCTAATGTTTAAGCTTATCCATAAATATCCATTTAATAAATCATTTTACTTAAAATTCTAAATAAACAGTAGCAATTACGTATACAAATACATCTTATTTGTAATATTATATTTTTACATCATTACATTTTAATATTTAAGTAATTTATATAGAATTATAGTGTGAATGGTACTTGGAAATTATAGTTACCTCAATTTTATTTTGAATATATATTTAATTTGTTATTATTGATGAATACATTTTTTAATTGTTTACCGCCTGCCTATGTGTGTATAAAATTGTTTCCTAATGTTCATTTTTATTTACTTAGCTAGTATTGTTGGTAAATTATCAACTATCGTCTATCATATTGTTATTGTTAAGTGAATCTTACAGATTTCTCTACAGATTAATATATTCAATAATTTTATATTTTATAAATATCCCAAGTAACGTAAGTGTATTATACTTTTATACAGAGAATATTGGGTAGGATATTTAAACCGGACTTCATTTTATTTTACAATTATACATTTTTATCAATGATAAAATCTATCTAACCTTTTTTCTGAAAGAAAACTCATAATTGAGAATTATAAGGAGGACTATAAAAGTAGTGAAATAATGTTTTAACTGCGAAAAAAATTCCCAACTCCATGAAATGCTTTCATCAATAGGAATATCTTATAATTTTAGCATATAACCAGATAACTTAATTTCCTGGAATAATCTACTACCTAACTTCGCTTATAGTTGAAACTTTTAAAGTAAGTATGATAAGTTATGAAACATTTTACGTTTGAGAGTGTGATGTAGGGGGGGAGCATAATAGTCTATTAATTTGATATAAGGAAGCATATAAACTTGAGTCCTCAGAGTACCCCTTCTATTAGTACTTTTTTTGTTTTAATCCAAAAATAAACAACTTAAAATCTTCACAATAACATTTAGGAGATATGATAAATTTTTCAAAGTATTTATGCTTTTTTGATTTAGATGTTTGAAACTTTCGACATTTTTTCGATTTCTTATCTAGGTATGATATAATTTTTGTTTGCGAGACAAAAACATTGAACATTTAATACCAAGTTCCTCATGAATTTTTCCTTTTAGACACAGAAAATACAAAATCAAAAATACATTCCTAGACACAACATTTTTTTTCATAACCGCTTAAAATTAAAATTATGACAAAATTCGTCAAAACACAGAACCCGCAAATGTAAAAGTATTAAAATGCGTAGGACAAAAACAAACCTATAATACTACTTGCCTAGATCAAAAAATCTTGGACATTTAAAATTGTTTACGGACAAACATTAAGTGTTCTACCTAATCAAAGCTGCGTGATTAAATTTATAAAATTTGAAGTCCTAAAACTTAAGACAATGATACCTACATGGCTACATGACTATATTTGGTTTTAAACTCTGAAGGTGCAAAATGATACTACTTCACCCCCCAGATTCTGCATCTGGTGAAAAGTAGATACGATTGTTGTGCGTGCCGTCCATGAACCGATAAGCATATGTTACAAATTTACAATATTGGCATATTGCAATACCCAAATTATCCATTATAATCACTAAACAAAATTAAACATATCGATACAAAACAGTTAATGTTTATCATTTAACATTTTATTAATACAACAAATACAATAGTTGGTATAAGGTACATATAAAGGACAGGTTTATAGTATATATACTGTATATTATATAGGTGTGTATAAATACATACTTAAAATTAACACTATATAGTCACAATTAACTATATCGATATAGTATAATAGTTTAATACTTTAATATATAATAATATGATTTTAAAAACGAAATAATTAACAAACACGTATGTCGTATACATAATATTATATTAGATAGGTAGGTATCAGAAAGTGCGTGGAAATAAACGATTTTCAAAACAATACATATAATATATCGTACCGTAATTGTACATTTTAATTAATATTTGATTGTCACCGTATACCGTTTTGATTAAATCTTTCTCCTATGCGAAATAGGTACATAGTTTTCACGATCACGTCGTATAGGCTATAGGTAGGTACATATAATAAATTTTCACACATCTGCTTACATCAGTGTGTGGCTAATGCGTGAATCGCCACGATTAAATAATATAATAATAATAAAACTATAACAATAAAACAAATAAATAAAATATACAATAATAGTAATTAATCATAACCGCATAGAACGATATGAGTATAGGTATAATGACAAATAAATAATAATAATATTAGGTAATAAGTAATAACTAATAGGTAAAAAATACGAGTGACCGCCTTTCGTTCAAAATCGAAATGGTGGCATTATAATACAATATATTATATATTTATCTACCTATATTATATGTCAATTATACTGACCACAAGTGTGATGTGAATAAAATCCATAACGTACGCGGGAGCGGCTCCAAGGAGGGGGGGTCCTTGAAAGTTTACCTTTTAATTTCTTACCCAGTAATTGTTTATTGATAACAACAAAATTACAAAAAACATATTACAACAACGAAAGCTTTCTGAAAATTATGACTTACCCCCGCCCCACTCCCCACCAACCATGTCGCTGGAGCCGCCCCTGCAGGACATACCCAATATAATATGTAGGTAGCTTAATACCATTCTTACGTACCTACATAAATTCTACTCATTGATAAATAAAGTTAAAGTCTAATGAGAAGTGATGCAACGCCGCGTTGTAATAATCCTAATAATTTAAATTATTTAACATCAATAACAGATTAAATGTGTAGTATAATATGTATATACACGATAATAATTAATAAATATAGATAGATACCTACCGACTTACGATATTATTATAATATTATTAATATATGAGACATAACATTTGCGCGATACATCAAAATATATCAATTTCGCATAGTATGCAGACAATATGCGCAGTGGACTTTGTGGCCGAATATACTGTATAATAATATAATAATATTGTAAATAGAAAGGTAAATTAATAATACCTATATTTAAAGGCGTTTGAGGTCTTTTTATCGCTTTGATAACATGATGAATCCTTTATTATTGTTTCGAAACTTTAAGAATTCTGGACGGCATATAAAGGTACCAATAATACCTATGATGCGTGTTATGTACACAATATTAATTATTTGACTATAATATTATTAGACGTCAATGGACATTGGACATTGAAGAAATATAATACATAATACGCATTATGTATTAATCGATATCGTGAGTCTAAAAATCGATTTTAAAAATAATTACAAGCCTAGGTACCTATATATATCAAATAATATCAGCTGTAAATTGTGAACAACGTGGTAATAATAATAATAATAATAATAATTATTATTATTATTAGGTAAAATTTTCAAACTTAAAATTGTCCGCGACATCCGTGCGTAGCAAAATAATATAATACTATTTATTTTAACAGCAACTACAAATATTAGTATCTATGTTTAGTTGGGCGGTACACTGGTAAAAGGATCAATTTTTATTTTTTCTACTATTTTACGTTACGTATCTGCTCCTATACGTAGTTTTCATCATCATGAGTTTTGTATTTTTTTACATTTCAAATCATCTGTGAAAAAATGAAAAATCAATAATTTTGCACATTAAGCAGAAATGATACTATATTTTTATTTTTTCGTTTCCTGAAAAGCAGTGATTTTGACATATTCCTTTTTACCAGCGCACCATCTAGTTGTATACAATTATTTTTAAAACCAATTAATAATCAATCCTAACGGAAAGTTTTGATGCAAAACAATTAATTACTTACATGGCTACATGAGTACTTTAAATTTCATCAAATTTTTATATTATTCATAATGAATAACGACAATAAAATCGCTCAAATATATAATTTTAAATATTAATACATAATCTCAATATTACAATTACATTTATGTCATAATAATAATATTTTTTTTTTATTGTTTTGTTTCAACAAAATTTTTAGCCACAATTCGTTTAATTGAAATTGAACTTGTAATTTATACATGCGTCTGACGTCGTAACACATACTAATAACACGCTGTTAATCAGTTACGTAAATATTGTACAGCCAAATTTAATTCGAATAGGAAAAAGTATAATATTATGAACGTAATAGAATGCAGAATAAACACACAGCCTATGCACGGAGAAGACTACTAGACATTATAAGTAAAATAAAGGAACTAATTCTCATTAATTTAATTTAATTTGCAGGCGACTATACACAAAATAGTTAACTATAGTTAATAATTTATACGATATATATACGTACCTATGATAGATACCTACGTAATACACAAGTTAAAACGTTGAAATAATAAATATATAATATTATATTATGTTATCATACCTAGTAAATATTATATTATTATTGTATTAACCAGTAGGTATGTCTGTGTATGTACATATCGTAGTACATAGTTATCTGAATATATGACGTATACTATTTACTATATGTACATCGTATATGCACGTTGATTTGTATTATACAGCTAAACTTTTCGTGTTTAAGGTATTGTATTTCATTTACGACATTATACCTGATAATCAAATAAATAGTAAACACGTTACATTTTGTAAGAACATTTTCTCTATAGGTATCGACATATTGTTGAAAAAATAATTATTACATTCTACCATACCACGTATTCAATACCGATATGGGCATATGGGTCGAACATTAAGGATTTATACAACCTGAAAAATTGTCTAGGTCACTCCGTTTTTAGGATATTATGCTGATTTCAATTTTAAAAGTAGGTAGGTACTATTTTGTAACACCATCCAAGTATAAAGTAAGTGGCTAGTAAGTAATTAAAACAAATACAATTTATTTATTAGATAAATAAACGCGTGATCGCATTATATTCATTGACACAACTAGAGGACGACTTAAGTGGAGAGGGCTGTAATGTTCTATATAGATTTTAAAAAAATGTAATAGCAAAATTAAATTAATAAAAAGGTGCATTGAATAAACATTGTTCAAAAAAATAAAATAAATAATTAGATATTGAACCTAAGTACCGGAGTTTCATAAATTATTTATAAAACTTAAAATAAAAAAAAAGATTTTTGGGAGGGGATTAACTTTATGTTGTTATAAATTCACCTTCACACAGCAAGTGATAAAATTTGATCCTAATATTTAATTTAATTAAACTAAACAAATAATTATTGCGAGAAAATTACGTATACAGGCGGTGGACATTTTTGGCATTTTTAAATATACATAAAGGACCATCATATTCTTGAGATTTGTTGTATTAGTAAGGAGGGTCCTGTGGAGACGCAAACTTCTGTTTTTTCAAATGATAACACCCCTTTTCAACTGTAAATTATTCAGTGGATAATTTTAGTGAAAAATGTTACGTATCATAATCAAGGGTGGACAGGCTTGGGTAGTGGGTGGGTGATCCCCGCCTGGGCCTGTGAAAATTTAAGCCAAATTGCCTGTTTCCCTGAGGCCAATTTTTATTCCCAGTCCGCCCCTGATCAGAATCAATATTCGTACGAGTACATTATGAGTTATTTAACTTTGTGTTCTAAAGATAAAATGATGCTGGTATTGGAAAGTAAGACATGGGGGCTACGGTGATTTTAAAATTTTAGTCATTAGTAATAATCTATCAACAATAATAATTTGTAAAAATGGCCAGTGTAATAATAAATACTAGTTCCAATATTAGGTCTGTTTTAAATTACTTATTGTAAAACCATTTTAAAGGCCTTTTATCCTTAGAACAAACTTTTAATAATCAAGAAACTACTCATTCAAGTTTTGAATTATGTACAATGTACATAAAAAATTTCAAAATAATTATCCTCTAAACAATATTTTAAAAAAAGGGGAATTTGGGTTTGAAAAACAGACGTTTCCATTGCCACAAAATGCTCCTTAAGTAGTATGAAAAAATTCAAGAATTCAAAAAAATTGTCTGAGTACATTTAAGAATTCCAAAAATTAGAATTTGAATAAATTCATTATTAAAAGATACAATGAAGATCAGCATGCTTGGTAAATCACCTGTAACCATATATATGACACATATTGTCGTTTAATATCATTGATTACCTATTAAGTTCTAAGAAGATCTCTGATTATAAGACAATAAATATAAGCAATGAATATCAGAAATAATATTTACCAAATCATCAGATGACAGCATATAAAAAGCATTAAACTTTAAATTCGATGACAAATTAATGTAATAATGATCATTATTTATTAATTAATTAATATGCTTAAGAAATTGTGTAGTCTAACTATTATGGTTTAGGTAGGCAATTACTATATATTAGTGTTTTAGATATAAGATACGAAGCAAATAATACATTTAATTAGACATTCAAATTGTATGTAATAGTAGTTATCGAAATAATTGACAATACTAATTTAACCTATTCAATGCACATTTTGTACTCCAAATTTTATTTTTTATTATTTAAATGAATTATTATAATTGGATAGTGTAAACATAAAGCATGAAATTGTAACTAGCTAGAAACTCAATTTAACACAATATTAACTATTAAGTGATATATCTGCATAAAATGATAAGATGAAATATTAACTTATACATTACATTTAAATAAATTTAAGTTTTATCACTAAAAATGTAAATCAAATAATAAACTGTTCAAAAAGATATTTTACCAGGCTTACTAGAAAGGAAATCTCAGATTAAAATGTATTTTAAATAGGTAATGAATATAATTATCATAATCTGATAATATCTATAAATAATTTTTTAATCAGATAATATCTAAAAATAATGTTTACCTATTTCTTGATTTAAACAGTAGTCTCCTTTAAGTGAACGAAGTTCTTGTCATCGGGAAGTTTAGAGTCAAACAATGTCCTTTCCCAGACATTTACTTCTGTAAAACCTTTTAAAATCATAAAAATCAAACAGTTTAACATACTGAAAAACAAAAACAGTTCACTTGTGCTCAGTGCGTCCACTATTTATTAAGTGTTTTATAGTAAATCAACATTTTCTAAAAATTAAAAATACAAAATCAACTAAAAATAATCAAAGTGCAATACAAACAAATAATTAATAGTTCAATACAAAATGTGTGCATAAAAAAAAAAAATGAAATACGCTATTAAGGTACCAACAAATAATTAACAAAATCATAAAAAAGAAAACAAATTATAATTCATATGAAGAAGCTGATAGAATAGATATAAATATAAATAAATAAATAGAGGTGAAGAATGTTTATTTGCTTATACTTGATGCATGTTATATATTTTATGCTTGGTACAAGTCATACAAAATCAAGAAATATCGTTGGTTAGTCATTAAATCAAATATCTCTTCCAATTCTAGATTATCTGAATAACTACTGGCTTTCAATACAAAATGTTTGGCACCTAATTTAAATTAATAGTTCCTTCAAGTTTTTTGAACCAGGAAAGTTTAGAATATTTCCATACTATTGTATTACAAAAACATAAGTTAAACATTTAGAAAAATATGCTTTTTATCCTTATATATTTTATTACAGAGGAGTCAACATCAAAGGTTTCCCTGGACTTTTAAACTCTCCCATATTATATAAAATGATAAAGTTTTCAGTACTCATTTTATGAATTATGACATACAAAATGTAACAACTTTTTTTCGGGGGGGGGGGGGGGGGGGGGGAGGGAGGACGTAATATTTTTAAAATTTTGAATAAAAGTAAATTTATAAAAAATAAATGATTAATATTTAAATGAATTTTCATTATTGTTTTATACAAGTTCTTAGAAAAATAAAAGTTAATTTTCATAATATTTGGGTATAATTTTAATCATCAGTAACCTTGTTTTTATTTATATTAAGTGTAATTGATCTTCAAAATACTCATACAAAATATATAGTTGACAACTTTTAATTTTTTTCATTGAAATTTTCTTTTTTACAAACACCGGTGAATTGTTAAGACAAATAATGCAAATTTATATTATTGTTTAAAGAACAAAATATTTTTAATGGTTAAATTAGTTCTAAACATCTAACAGTTCTGAGCATCACACATACACATATATATGAAGATATAGTAATAACATTCAACTAATTTTAAAAACTATATTTATTGAAATATAATATTTTGATGAAATCATATAGTTATATATAGCTATTTGTCTTTAATCTATTTAACTCAATTATTAACACAAACTGCACTGGTCAATACAAAAAAAGTGATCAAATATCCTAAGTTAGTGACTAAATTTCTATAAGCTCAGTATACATAAAAGCGCAAAAACATACACATATATTTAAATACATTTTAATTGTTTTTAATAGGAACACATTGAGTTGAAACTATGTATCACATTATAATATTAAGTTATAACATCTATTATGTATTAATTTTTGATTAAGTCATTACCTACGTAATCTAATATATAAGAAAAACCCTATATAGTGCGGATAACAAAGTGAAAAATTAAATGCATGTAGAACACCATTTTATTTTAAATTTGACCTATTATGGGCAACATAGCAATTAATATAATATATTCAGCAAAACTAGTTATGCCAGTTAACATTGAAGCTCGTTTTATTGTCAGATAACTAACTTTTAAGATAAAGATTATTAACTCATTATGATGCATGTGGGTTTATTCATAAAAACCATGCGCGTGGATTAATTTGTTATCCTTATATATTCTAAATATAATAATAGTTATGCATTATTCAAAATTTAAAAAAATAAACCAAACCATTGTCTATAAACATAATCATAATATTGTAAAACAGATAATTGCATAGAATACTTATTTTAAGAAAGCTTAATGAAATTTCAACTTTATCTTAGTCAAGGAAATGATATTAGAATTAGTTAGAAAGCGGCTGGAATTAATTTATACCCCACGCGCATGTGGACGGGTTAAACAGTCACATATTGTTCATTTCAATGATGTGGTAGTAATAAACAGTAATTAATAATGTTACTATACACAATTGCCTAAAATTAAACATCCTAATATTATACTCTTTTCATTTTATTCTATTCAGACATAATATAAATTAAATAAGAAATTATTATTATGAAATTTTTAAAAATTTTTGGTGATTTTATTTTGTTTTGTTTTTCAATTTATTTTTAACTAAACTATATTTTATTAGTTATAGCAGATTACCATTTTCCCAGTTCCGTATAAGTACAACACAGTCATGTTATTTTTTCACAAGTCATACCACGATAAAAATATACAATCTTTTTTTTATGTACGTACATATCAAGTAATAGTTAGGTATAGTAATTCAATAGGTTATCTCCAATTATCTTATACATAATTAAGGTCAAGTATGGCCAAATAATTTGATTATATAATACGACATGAAGTTGTTGGATCTCTACGGGCTATCTTTGTTTCTGTTAAAGGTCGTTTCTCACAAAATTTTCTAAATGCAAAAGAAGAACACCATTTAAATTTGTTCGTTGCTACTTGATCAGACTGATTGTCAAAATTAATAGGACAATTATCGGCATTAGTGAGGGTTTTGTCTGAATTAGAATTGCATTTGTTTTTCTTGTCATCGCAATTATTAGTTTCATCATCGGCAATTTCCTCAAACCAATCTTCGTCCGATGAACTATGGTGGCTTTGATACCTTTGTAAGGGCATATTATTGAAACTAGGAATTGACTTGAGCCTGATACGTCTATTATGCTTCCAAGCTTTTTGCATGATCGTCGGAAATTTCCATTTGTGTGTTTTGCAAATGCAATTGGGTACGGGAAATATACTTTTATGTGTCCCATGTTTGTCAGATATTTTTTTACGCAAAAATCCACAACTAAACGATTTATTTGTTTTGCAATGACTTTCTGTATAATTTTCTTTTACAGATACAATGTCAAGTTCACTATCACCTGCGGATGTAGATGGTGCTGGAGGGATATTAACTTCACCTAATACAGTATTATCTGGTATAATTGTATCTACTACTGGAATACAACATTCGTTTGAATCTACACATAAATGATCACCCAATAAAGCATGCAGTGGATATTGGGTTTCAGGAAGCACACGGTTAAGCTTACAAGCACAATCCACTCTGTCCACTATACCTGCATTGTTCATAATGTCACATTTCAAGTATACAGGCTGGAAAAACACAACAATTCGTAATTTTTATTATAATATGAACATACAAAAAGTAGCAACTAATACCTATAATATAAACAGTATTATTAATAATAATAATATGAAAATAGTATTAATTGACCTATGGTTTTTAATTACAGTCAATAGCTGCTTTGATTAGAATAAAAATATTTGACAAATAATGTTGAGAGGACATAATACCAAGTACCAACAATGTGTGATGTCTTACAAACACAAACCAAATTTGTATACAGCAAAACCAATTTTGGGTTATTAATTTAATATTAGAATGAATCAAACTTGAAAGTGTAAATATTATCTGCGTTTGTACGTCAGTTTATTTATATTAATTTTAAAACGAGATAATAAAATCATTTTTAAATTGCAATATTTTACATACTGTTGTATGACGTCCCTAATTTATCTCTATGATAAATGAATAACTATGATGTATTCATGGATTTTACCAAATTGTACAGCAAAATAAGAATAAAAAAAACAATTATGAATAATTTATATTTTAATGAATATCAATATCTTTTAAAATTACATAATTTAACTTGTAAAAATGTATAACTTATGAAATGTTGGTCTTAACAGTTACCAATATTGTAAATATCTTAATAGGAAAAACAATAATAATATTTTTTAAATACCTTATGATCTCCCATGCATGTTTTCTTTCCAATAAGATCATATTCCACTTCACCAAAATTATCTTCTTCAAACGCCTGAAATAATAGGTAATGAAAATGAAAATAATATATTATGATTATAGTTAATAATTTTCATCAATGACTCATTTATTTTGTATAATAACTTTGGTTGTAAGAATACATTTTTAGGAGCAGTTGTGTTATTTGTGTTTTAGTACAATATGAAATAATATAATAGTAAACAAAATAATGGTAAATAATATTATAATAAAGATGTATATAGTATATACAAACCCTACATTTTTTTAAAATTTAGAAACAATTCTTTTCTATGAAAAATATATTGCAATAATATCACAAATTTATTAATTAATTTGAAGTTTAAAGAGATATTTTGCATAATGGTAAACATGTATAAGGTTAGGTTAATGGTAGGTAATAGGTATGCCCTATAAGCTAATAATAATATTGTAAAATATAGATACTATTTTTAGAATTTAAAAATTTTATATCGAGTATCATAAACTTTAAAATTTTAATGTGATAGTTACCTTTTCATTTATTAGAAGTTTGGCACCAGCACTTAAAACCACCCTATCACACCAAGCTGGGCACCTGGTTTGCATATAGTTCATTCCTTCGTGTTCATTTTCTTCAAATGGATAACTCGGTTGAAAATGAATAGGAAATTCAAATAATTGCTCTTCAAATGATTTTAATTCATGATCAAAATCTTTTAACTGGAAATAGACAAAAATATATACTTGATATTTAAAATAAAAAATAAATTAAGCATTTCTTTTTTTCCCCTTTTTGAACCAAACAACGATAGGTGATCACACAAACTACATGCATCACTTCCCCTCAAACCAACCATATTAATATATTATGCTAAACAGGAATTGTTATCAATTATCACTTTAGATTAATACTAATATATGTATGTATTGTAATTACCCACGATCCACTTTTTGACATAAATGTATTTTGATGGTCTAAATGGCGAAATTCTTTTTTTCTTAGAGTAAAAATAACCTAAAAACATAAACAACAAAATTATTGTCAAAATGTCTTATATTTAAATTCATATTACAAAATATTTCTACATACATATTACTATGTAATACAAAACCATTGAGTCAACACTTACTTCTTTTGAATTGTCTGTATACTGAAAAACTAAGTTATCTTTATCAACATCATCTTTTACCATGTCTAACCCCTCAACTATTTTCTGTAAAATAAAATATTTTATTACAATCAATAATTTAAAACGTATATTAGAGTTATCTATTGTTCAATGAAGAATTTTACCATTATGACAGCTTTAGTATCCGTGCGAAAATTAAAATCTCCAAATAAAAAAAATGGAGCAAATCCAAAATCATAATTACGAAACCTAAAGTCATAAAATTCATTAATACTAATATACAAATACTTATATAAATTATGCATTAAATAGTTAATCTGTGAAAAAATAAAAAGGTGGAAAGTAAGTTATAGCTCTTCTGTACAGTAGGGAGTCAGTTGAGAGGGTACTGTAATCGATGTATTAAATTTGAATTCAATGATAAATCACTATACAAAATGAAAAATGATTCTAAACAAATTCTAATTTCTTGATAATCAAACAATTATTTAATAATTAAATTTAATTACAATTTTAACAAATGTTTGTATTCTTTGCTTTCGATTATTTTAAAAAGTACTGATAATTTTCTTTTTTGACCTCCCAAAAGTACCGATTAGATCCAATTTTACGAGAAATTTCCATAAAAGTTGATGATCTAAGAATTTTTTTCGTCATAAAAGTGTCTTTAAACACACAAATAAACACATCATTGTTCAATAAATATCACTACGTTTATTACCTAAAGTATGAATTTAATTATTAAAAATGAAAATATTTACATTTTATAAGTAAAAATATTATGTATTTCTTATTGTTAACATTGTTAGTTAATATTAAAATACAAATTTATCCCACCCTTAACACATTTATTAATTGTGCCCCTTGGGTATGGGGTCCTGTAGATCGTAAATTGTGAATAAAGGAAAAACAACTATTTAATTTTAATTTACAATAAATTTCCTTACCGTTCTAAAGTGTATTCAAGTGCTTTTTGTCTCATGACAGAATATACAGAAGAGTGCTGAAAATTAAAAAATAATTACTATCTATAAATATGATGAAATTTGTATCTATACAGGATGATAATTACAAAGAAAAACTAAGCCAACTATATATTATGCCGGTCAATGAGGATTGGAGAATATTATTAATAAATGCTGTTCAATATTTATAGTATTTTATACACCAAAATGTTTTATCTAATTGTAATATTAGACTAATTACTGATTGAAAAACGCATTCAATATTATTTGAGCACAATTGTTAACAGATTTAAAACAAAATTAACTCACAGATTGCATCGCAGTAAAATTTGAAGCATCGTGAAACAAATGAATATTTATGAGATCAAATACAGAACCATTTAGCTTCCATCTAGTTCTCAAAAACCCTTTGCGTGACCATTTACACTAAAAATGAATGAATAATAATAATAGATTAGAAATAATTCTACAAACTATATTTTTAAACTTAACACTTAGGTACCTCAGGAAAAAATTCTTGAGGAAATTTTGACTTTTCTTTTGTGGAAACATGTTCAATATTCCCAGAGTATATGGTTCTTTCGGTGACAGGTAAAAACTCTTGTTCTAAAGTTTTACAACATTTTAAAGTAAAAATAATGTTATGTGAATGAATTATAAATATAATTATTATTTTATAAAAATAAAATATTCAACAGATATATTTACTTACCATTAAAATCCCATAAAGATGCTTCTTTTATGGCTTCGTGTATAAAATAAAAGTTCCCTAAAGCCTAAAAAATTATAAAAATAATATATAGTTAAATAACAAATAGGTATGGAAGAAAGATAGAGAAATAAAAGTTAATGCGTTAAATTATATAACAAAGATAGAACTGTAATTATATATTTATAAAATAATATTTAAAACAACAAGCAAAATAATGGATTATAAAATTAAATTATAATCAAATAGAAATGTATAAATAACAGTTATCCAATGAAAGTTGTGTTCATGATGGAAATCTAGGTCCGGAATCAATTTGTATAAATATACATTTTTATGTTAATCAAATTAAATTTTTGTTACAATATGTGTTTTTTAAATTTATTAGATCCCCCCCCCCCTCACTTCCTTGGTTCAAGCCCAATCCAACAAAAATGTTTAGATTTGACTATAAAACAATGTGTATGTTCTAAATACTAAAGACTAATAAAAAATAATGATATTTAATAAAAAAAAAACACCCGAAAACCTTACATAAATACACATGAAGTATAATTCAATACTTAACCTAACCATATAGGTACCTAGTTAATGTAGTAATAATTTTGAGGCTTTAAAAATCCTAAGTAATATTTTGAAATAAAAATGGTTTAGTAATTTAGTTGAATTGATTTATTATATTCAAAATAACGAAAAATGAGTTTCATTCGAAAACCGAAAATAAAAATATACCGTAATAATTATATTTGGCTAGTTACTGTAAAATTTTCTGCTGATGTGAATTCTTCATCAAGAAATACTTGGGCTCTGTTGAAGATCCTTAATTCTTTGCTCGTCATCAATAAACTGTAATCAAATTAATTAATATTTTACCACACACAAAAATATAGAATTTCAAATGATTTAATACATAAAGGAATGTCCCGAACAAGCTTCTATATGATCAATACAGCCAGTAGCCAAAATCCCAATTTCTTTGTATAATTTATAATTTTAATCAATTAAATATCTATTGGATTTTGAAAATAATTAAAAATAATACTATTCAACATTAACATAATAATTATCATTACCATCATAATTAAATATTTATTTACATAAGTCTTGAACACATTTTAATAGTTAGTCATTGGAATTATTCTTGTTAATTTCAGTCATATTATGATTTTATTACTTTAATTACAAAAAATAAATATTAAAAATTCATATTTTAGTGTATTAGTTATAACTTTTATAATAATTATTAATTTATTATAATTGATGGAGCAAATGTAAAAAAATAGTGTTGCTAAATACAAAGTTATGTATGATAGAAAATAATTTGTTCACTATATTATATTATGTTAAATTGTTAACACACAATTAGGCATTGTATAAATGAAAATGTATAGACATTTAATTGTTATTTCATGCTAAAAACCATGATTCAAAACTTATAATTAAGTTTTACTATACAAAATTATTAAAATTGTATAAATTATTTTGAATCATAAACTATAATACATTTATGCTAATGAACTAATTGCAAACACAAATAAATTTACATAAATTATGATTGATAATTAGGAGTCATCAAATGATTTTGTTAGATATAGTATAATACTAGAGTCTACAATATTGATGATACATGTTCAAGGAAATTATTTCTGTTTATAGCAAATGAAAGTTAATACTTAATTTGTTTAAAAAAATAGGGTGTCGTAAATTGTGAAACAATAAGGCTGAAAAGAATAAGAAACACTGAAATAACTGAAGTGCTTAAATAGTAAAATAAGTACAGCAATAAACTAAAAAGTAGTCTTTTCCAATACCAAAATAAACAGCAATTATTTAACAAATAATTGTAACTATTTAATTTTAAATTATTAATTATTTAATTTGAACAAATAAATAAATCATTTGTAAAATCATTAATTACCTAACAAAAAAACTGACGTGTTTCATGCTTTCTTCATAATTTTTCCCACCAACCTCTTGACAATGCAAGGCTATAAAATATGGATCCAATCTGCTCACAGTCTAGAGTTTAAATCAATTATGAATTTATGATTTAATCAGTCAATTGTTACTAACTACCAATAATAATAATATAAGATTAGATATTATTATATATTATAATTAAAAATATCATTTATTTTAAGACACATGTTTTAACTTACGTTTAAAAATTCTTCAGTCCATATTTTTAACATCACACTTGGCTGAAAATAAAAAATGTTCAAGTTTAAATAAGTTTAATTACAAACAAATTGAACCGACAGTTTTTATTTTTTAAGTTAAAAAATAAGTAAAGTAGGGGAGAGAGAACAGAGACTGTCTGTCAACAAACATTATTTAATTAATGTATTTACTACTATAGTTATTAATAATTATATAATATTTAAGAATTACAACAAAATAACTAAAATCTTAATTTTTTTGTTTATATATTAAATGTTGTCAACATTTTAAATTCAAATAACTTTCATCATCGAAGATTGAAGTGTCACTAATGAGTAGCTTCTTCAATCAATATTTTTTTCCAAGCTTTGTATGTCATTTATCAAATATTTTTAACATGCATTTTTTGTGTTAATGGTTTATCTATCTAGGTTTAATTTAATCTTAGTTTAAGAAAAAATAAAATCGTGTTTATACAGTTATACCTATATGTTGGGTTTTAGCAAAAACTACTAATAATGGACATTGTATTAATCATAAGCTATAAAAATTGAACATTTTATAGCTTTTATACTACCTACAAAATAATATGCAATATGTTCGTAATTATTTTGTCAACATTTTAACATTAAAAGCTTATAAAAAGAAATTGTGGACCATGATTAACTTTTTTTTTAATTCCATTAATTTATTTCAACTTTTAAGGAACATTAAATTCAATTTTTAAACATTTTTACCGAAAATGTAACATTGAAAAACATAAAAAATATTGTCACATTGTGTCACTGCACATATCTATAAATTGCTTAAAAATTCAAACATATTTAAAATGACACCATGCATAGAAAATAAAAATATCGTATAATTAATAAAATAAAGTTCTATAACCATATATTTTTATTAAAATGCATCAAAAATAATATATAATATAGTCATATAGTCAAATAATTGTTAACAGTGAAAAAATATGTAAAATAAAATTAATATCAATAAATAGTAAAATAGTAAATTAATTAATAAATTATAGTGTTAGAGGTAGATTTTTAAAACGTATTATTTTTACAAAATCAAAATCAAATATTTCCATGTTTTAATTTTTTAATTTGGGTTTGTACACATTTTCAGTAAAATATATACATATACAAAACTATTATTTATTTTGTTTATCTTTCTCGCTTAACATTTCGTACATTTCCATCACTTACACTTTATACAACGAAGAACTAGACAACACTAACTTAAAAAGTAATAAGCATTAGGTAACAGCATAATATACAACTGTGTCCCACGCAACCTTGCTATCTTATAGTTTACGTTTACCTATTTTTTTTATCTTTAATGGAAATTCCCACATCGAATATATGTGATCTTGTGAATCGTGAATTCTATAATAATTATTATTATTATTTATATCAAAATACGTATCGGACGCAACAGGATATTTATTATATTTTGATAACCACTGAAAATCGTATTTCCTACCTACTTATGTACGGGCCGCAATCGGGCGATGCGCCCCCCCCCCCAAATGTATATTTTTAGGCAGACCACTGTTGTAGGTTTCGAATGTATTTCGTGATTGAGGTACTATCATCTCAATGTATTAAATTTGAATTCAATGAGAATTCATTGCATACGAAAAATTTCTGAGCAGAGACGGTATGTGCAGCACTTATTTCCAAGCATGATTTATAGAATATATTTATACAGCTATTAGTAATACAATATCCAGTATCTACAGCAGATTGAACTAGGTTGACAAAAACATCGTATTAATTATATCATAGAGATGATTAAAATATTAAATCATACATATTATTGATATTAACTTATATAGGTGAATACCGACGTTCGACGTAAATGCTGGGAATAGAATCGTGCCATAAACAGCTTAAAATGACCTAATATTTTGAAAATTTCATTGTTCAATATAAAAATAAAATATATACGTAACAGCGAAAAATGTCAAGTCAGTACAATTACATAATATGTTTTGCATTACAGCAAAAATCTATTTTGACAAAATCTGGTATTCTGTAAATATTTACGTTTTCTTGCGGTTCTTTGTAATTTTTTCCAATTATTATAAGAAAAATATTAGGAGACGAATTTTATACTTTTGCTACCTAAAGGCTAAAGTAGTTCCTAAAGTTGCTACCTACAGATATACCAACAGATCAATTTCAAATAGTGAAGCAAATGTCTTGCTCCAAAACGTGATAAAAGAGACAAAAAAAAAATTGATTTAGTATGAGACCAATATTATATCTATAAGTGATTCATATTAGGGCCCACTCCTACATTACAACATTCATTATTTAACTGTACATGGACAAGTTTGCACGTACAAATATAAATAATTTTAGTTCAAGCACACAAGTTATTTCTAATTAACAGGTCGAGAGCCATGTGGGTTTTTATAGTTTTTTCTAATGTTGCCGTGAGACCCAAATTTGGTTCTCGGTAAATTTTTTTACGGCACGAGAACCACATTTGGGTTCCACAAAACACAAATATCATACTATTTTTACTTTCACTTTTTTTCTTATATTACGTAATTAAATATAAATATTTGTTAGACCTTATAAAAACAATCATATGGTAACTCCAAACTCAATGTACAAAATTTAACTATTTTAATTTAAATTTGCCAGAAACCGAAAGTTTTATTTGGTATTTTCTAATCAGTAGACATTGTATAATGATAATTTGAATGAATATCAATTTTCTATAGTATTATATAAATTCGTAAAATATATCTTTAATATTATATACATTTACTAACATAAAAGGTAATATAAAGATAATATAAAGGTTTATATTGAAACTTTTGGAACACTTCACTACGAAAAATAATAGCAGGTAACAATGACTAAAAAAAAAAAAGACATAAATGTAAAACTTAAATATTATTCGCTTTGCCCAGAATACCTACCTACAATTATTTTAAGGTCAACTGTAAAGTATGTCAAAACATATATTTTTAATTAAAAAGTAATTAATAAAATACTAACCTATTTTGAAATATAAGTATACGTATACCTCATTGATATTTCAACAAAGAATTTTAATAATTCAATGTTAATAGTAAATTATTAATCGTAATATAAATATAATATGACGCATTTCATAAATATAAAATTATAGGATTATAGGAAATATCTATTTTTAATTTATTTCTTAACACTATTTTGTGAAGTTAAATATTCAGTTTTATATTACCTACTATTGTTCAACTAGTATTCAGAGTTAAAATTTGTATAGACGTATAGTGTTCCTATTATTGGTATGAGTTTAATAAAATATTTAAAACACAATCTATGAAGCAACATATTTATTAGTAGGTACAAAAAAACAGAAGTACCTATCAATCGATTTTGTAATTTGTTTAATACGATAGTCTAAAATGGTAAATACACACGTCAATATACGTTTTACGTTTATAGTGCTGTAACGTTAGGTTAGGTTAACTGTAAAACACTGTAGCAGCGGAAACGCCCCTCAAAATCTTGAATTTGTATATACAACTACTTTAAAACATATTATAGATATACAAGAGTTAGCAATATTTATTTATATAATCGTAATTAGTAAATACTTTAACTTATATAGTTCTGTACAGCATAGAAGCATAAAGCTAATTAATGCCCCTTCCCTTTCGAAATAAATCCAACAGCCTACAGATAATAACTATTAACTATAGTAGACAGTAGGTCAACGTGAGTTAAATTGAATTGTATAATGTCAATTGTGTGTCTCATTTGGATGCAGCAAGCAATCTTTTTTCACTAACAAAATATTCAATACTTCAAAATGTAGAGCATTGCAACTGTATTTAAATTCTAGACTCAACATTGTTAATTGATCCAATTTTTTGTTTATATTGCCTCACATATATACAGCTTATTTTCAATTAAAACGGAATTTGTGTTAATAAGATTTTATACTTTCCATAAAAAAATACAAAATTTAAATATATAATAGACTGTTTTAACTTTTAAGTAAATATCAAAATGTTAATATTTTTAACGAGAAACATTATTTTTTAAAAAATTTTGTATTTTTTCCCCTAAAATAGGCATAAGTTTATAGTTTGTAAAAGACAATTTAACTAGGAAATTCGGAATATTAGGTAACAAAGAAACCCATAGGCTTTTTAACTATTTTCATATGACGTACAGCTCCAATATCAATATGACAGAAACATCGTCATACCTATATTACCGCATTCATTAATAAGTTATAATTATCAATAGATTATTTTCATAACACACTTTAATCAAGGTGATAACAAAACAACTTTTAGAAACTAATCAACATCAACGTCATACTAAACATGTTTTGTACATAAACAAAAGTGCATCACATATTATTAATGGCTCCTATAATAGATAGACAAAGTTCCATCATTTTAAGCTATTACACTATACTAAATTACTATAAATATAAATAATAGTATCGATTAATTACGGCCTATGGGTAATATTGAAAAGCTACAGCTGCTTCGTGGAATTTATAAAAAAAATGGCTTTTCAAATAGAATTGAAAATAATTGATTGAAATTATTTATTTTTGAGGGAATAACTCGAATGAACAATGCAATTATACTCAATAGTCAATACGTATGACGGTACACAGTAATTAAAATCAAGTCATAATTCATAACTTTTATGATATAATTTTAAGGTTAAATTAATAAAACATATTTTTGGGCGTGAATGAAACCCTAAGTTATATACTATTATAAGTTTATAACGTATAACTTAATAAGGGAGCAAGGATCATATGTCAAGTGTGTTATGCAACAGTATCGTAAAACACAATCTAAGTAGTAATTGTATATACGCTAGCTTACAATAGAAATATACAACTATAGATAGGTAGCATACATTTATATTTTATACAATAATAGGATTATATATTTCTATTGCTGATTTGAACTTGGTACTCAAGCATGACACATGAACTAAAATATAAATGGTTTTCAATTGAATTAGAATTCTGGTTCGACACATCAATCGTATCAAAATAGATTCAAAATTCAAAATATAATTATTTAAAAGTTCATACATTTTTAAAATACAAATAATTTTAAACAATAATTTATTTTGTATTTTACAGTATACCAAAGCATTAACAAAATTGGGATACTCGTTCTGCTGCAAAGTAGGTTTGCAGCTTAAAATTAATCTCACTATTTGGAAAAGTTTCATTTGCGTATAGTAATTAATAATATAGACTTTAACAAAACATTACAATTTCTTACATTATAGTATTGACTTATAATGACTATTGAACATGAAAAAAAATGTTGCATTTGTATTTTTGAGATTTTTAGGTGTATGTATAAAAAAAAACTTTGAGGAATGTTCTATTATATTTTTAAATCTTAGCTATTACTTATTAGTATTAAAAATATTAAAAATTGTATAGGTACACTTTTAACAACAATACAATTTTCAAATTTTCATGGTTTTGATCATGTTTGTCAACATTTTAACTTCAAACGGTTGTGAATAAAACAAAAATATGGCTTAATGCTTATTTTTTTCAATATTTTTAAACTACCGTATAAACAAATTATTTGAGATCTTTGTTTAAGGTTTTTGGCCGGACATAACATTTATTATCAATATTTAAAGAATAAACTAAAAACATTTAAAAATTTAAAATTATTAGATATAAAAAACATAGAAAAAAGCTTAAATTTAGTTAACTATATTGAAAATTGCATTGAGCTTAGAAAATGATAACTATTTAAGTAACAGCGGAAATGATCAAAGTTTCCGTAATTTGAATTTTTTAAATTAAACAAAATTCCAAAAATTGTTTGACGTCTTGACGAGAAATAACTATTGTATGTGTGAATTCAATTTGAATTTCATTGTCGTTAACAGTTTTACTTGAGACGAGCATAAAAAATAATTGTACAACAAATAATAAACTTTGTTATGTTATATTTTTAAGGAAATTTTATGAAAAACTTTGTTTTTAATTTTAAGTTTTTTACTCACAAACCAAAATTTAATCGTACATAAATAAAAAAAAAAACAATACAAAGTTAAAATATACCACCGACAAAGGAAGAAATGAGAATATTATGAACATAATAACATGATAATATCTAGTACCTAAATACTTGTATGAATATTTGGTGAAAATGTCAAGTCCCTATACAGTTATTTATTTCTGCATTACAATAAAGAAACAAATCAGATTTGGTCGAAAATTAGTTTTGCGAAAAATGTATGTCTTTCTTTAATTTTTTTTTGTTTACCAATTATTTTCAAAAGTACTTGGAATCCCTAAAGTACCGCAACTAGATCCAATTTGTTATCAGAAACCACTCACAAAGTTGAAGATTTTTTTCCACTATAAAACATACAAAAAAAAAAAAAAAATACACACACAACACAGTAAAATTAATTTATTCGTCTCTCCGCTTAGAATCTAAAACAAACTGATTGATTTTGTAATAAAAATAGAAGAAAAACCATAAACTCTTCGATAAATTAATAAAACATTGCAGTTATCATTTCTGTTGGTAAGTACATTGAAATAAAACATTTTATGGCATTTTAAATGCATGTTTTTACATTTCATGTCTCCTCTTATCAAAAATTTCAAAAATAATAACGATAACAATTTTTAAAAAATGTACATTTTTTTAAAAACGTTGTTTTATTATGGCATTAAATTATATAAATAAATATTTAATTAAACACGAATACTTTAGAGATGGTAGAGTGTAGATACCAATTCTGTTAATAGAATACTGTGAACTGTTGTAACATACCTACTACACAGTACACACCATGTTATAATATTATATCCCTCAGAAGCCAGAAGACGCTACACCCGCATAACATCGCAATTTGTATATTATTCTAAATAATCCATTTAACTCTGTTATGGTTAATATTAGAATGACCTAATACCCAATTTGGAATTAAGAATATTCTAGTGAATATCATAGTTTTTAATCATATTTTAATTTTAAAAAGACTGATCTTACCTTTTAAGATTGTAAATTGTTTTTACAATTTAAAATGCTCATAGCTCGCTTCAAAATTGAAGTATGAAAAAAACCTAAGATATTCATTAGATAATATTCTTATTTCTAAATTTGATAAAAGGTCAATTCAGTATAATATTAAACATAAAAGTGTTCAATGAATTGTCCAGAGCGTATAATTTGCTATATGTAATGCGTTAGTAGGATGGAGAAAAAGCACGCGGGTAGAGCGTATAGTTGCGTAGGTACTCCTAATGTAGGCAATAATCTTAAAATAAAATATTCTCCAAGCAATATCATAGATATTAGTGCCCATCATATAAGTTCTTATGTTTTTTTTAAGTACAAAACGCTTCTAGGCATGAATAATAAATCATAATAAATAGTCATAACTATTCCGAAGATAATTTTATATTAAACTCTTCTTAAGAAATGTACAATGCGAAATTAATTAACATTAGATTATATTTATTAATACGCAACAATTAATTGTAGGTACCCGCCACCGTTGATGGTAGATTAATAATTAATCTTTATTCTACACCATGTACATAGCATAAAAACAAATATTCATTAAATTAAAATATTATTTTATAAAGCTGAGTACGCAAAACAAATCAGAACAGGTGCAGTAAAAAGTAATACTAACATTTTTTTTCGCGTGTTTTAAAAAATATAATTTATTGATAATTTGCCATACCACTCGATTATAATTTTACATTTTTTTGATTATTAAGTATAAATTAATAAAGTATATTATCCATGAATACTTTAACTACATAAAATTACTTAACACCAAAATAATAGGAGTTCATTATAATGATTATACATTCATTTAAAGTATATTTTGACCATTATTAAGCTCTTAATATTAAATTTAAGATAAATTAAATTTCACTCTATTTAAGCTTTGTTTTATCTGAAACAAGTATTTCAATCATAATAAAATAAATTATTCAATTATGGGAATTAAACTTATAATTAGAATCTTTATTAATCTAATGAAAATGCAATTGTATTGATTATTCAAAAAGAAGAAAATATTTGCGATTACCTATTGTTTTTTCTATGTATTCTTTAACTAGTTCAACCAAATTATTATAAAATAAAATAAAACAAAATTATCTCAACTTTTAAGTAAGTATCTAACCTTAAAAACATGTTTTAGTTGATGACTTGAAATTATCCTTAAAATCTCAATAGAATAGTAGATTACCATGTTATGGAATAATTAGAAGTAAAACTAATTAAAAATGTTGACTAGGTAAACCAGATGTAATTTATTGTGGGCTTCTAAGGTGTAGCTATCCAACTGCAAAGTGGGACAGTAGTCAGAGGCTTTATTGTGTTCTACTATAGTAAAGCTATTGCAATAAGACCAACCAACTTGAAACTGGATATAAAATATACATGATACAATATGTACCCATATAAAGAATAATTGCAAAGCTAATGGAAGGTAAATTAAAAGTCTAGACAATTGAAATCTAAACATTTTTTTGGAATATTTTAAATACAGTCATTCCAATTTATTTATTTTTAAATTTAATTATACATACCTAACGTACAATACAAAAAGTAAAATTATTATGTACATAAATTGGTTTAAACATAATATTATTAATATTATATAATAAATACATTTATTTTATTTATACAGTCAAAGGTAGACTTTATACTAAATTATGCAACATCCAACAGTAGATATGTCAGCATACACCTTATACAACTTTTAACTAAAATTTGTCTGGATGTATTAAATGTATAATATTATATACTTGAGGTAATATTTAAGTATGTATATTTAGAACTTAAAATGTAGGTTATTAATTTAAAATAACTAGTACTCTATTTCTATAACAATTTTAATCAAGTTTACAGAGCTATAGATGTAAAACCAAGAATTGATCGATTCGGATTTGAGATAATTATACTATCTTAGTGCCAATTAAAATCTAATAATTTATTAGGAAATATACATCAGATGTTAAGGATCTAAATCGTTTTTGTGTAAATGTATAGTATTACAATAATTTGTCACTCATTAGTCATTACTTTTCATGAAATTAGGTTATTGAAATGTCTAAAATACAATGAATGGTGATGTTCCATATTATGAACATTAATATTGATTATAATCTTATTAAAAAAATGATCAGACCTATTCAGAATAGGAAATTGGATTATTGAAACAGAAAATTGTAAATATTAAAAATTAAAATATATAAATTACTTGAGCAAAAGAAATCTAATTCAGTTGTTATCAAAATTGATAACAATCAACTTTGATAACAATTTAAAAAAGTAATTTTCAACTTTTTAGAGACATCTAAAATCTAAATCTCCCAGGTATATAAAATTGAATAGTAATTGGTATATAGTAATAGTTTTTTAACATCACATTTATGATTAATATTCATGTATAATTGTATTTAATTCATGTTCATTTGAACTTGTTTGATCAGATTTTGCATTAAATAATGTTTTGAATACATTATCTGTAAATTAATTTATCATAAATATAGGTACTATATTATATTAGTGTAAACAAATATAATTACAATTTAATACTTGAACTCCAAAAGTCCAAACCTTAACAAATTCAGTGTAAGAAAATAACTAAGGACTGGATAACTTCACATTCGATGATATATGTAAGTAAGTAGGTTGTAGAGTTACCTATTCGGTATTAATAAAACACCGAGCAAATACCAATAGTGATTAGTGAGTACTTCTTCTCTTTGTCTCTATTTGAATGTTTTACTCACTAATAACAAATGTATAATAAAAACTGAGTAAGTTTTAGCTACTTTTAAATGTTTGTAATATAGGTGAGTAGGTAGGTAGATGATGCAAAAATCAGTTGATCAAAACATTCAGAAGAGCTATAGAGGAAAGGCTGCAGTGTGATTATTAGACAGTATAATATTCTGTATTACTTTTGAAAGGATAATAATAATTAATCATAATAATAACAAAAACAACAACAATAGGTAGGGATGTACAGGTAGGTACTCACATTTTCGAATATCGACCCAATGTTCGCAGTGACCAATAGAACGCGAGTGGAAGATTCGCTAGCCATGTTGGACTGAAATTGATGAGAAATTGAGAAAATCACGATTTATATTGCTACGGCACGTCAGCCAGGCGATCAATCGCGCACCGGAAGACCGTTTCCGACGACGGAGCGACTGCGTTTGACCGGAAAAACGACTCTGCGTCCGGTGCACATGCTCGCGCGGGGTCGTACAATATCGCTGCCATAATAACGTGTACCCATTATTACAATATTCGTAACACACACGCCCGCGCACGCCGTTTGAACAACACTTGAAAACAGTGAGTCGATTTCGCGGCGGGTACCTATAATAATAACAATAATATCATTATTAGTTATTACTATATGGTATTATGGTGTAATAATAATAATATGTACAGACGTATTACAACTATTATTAATAGGATTATTATTTATTATTACTATTACTGTTATTGATAAGGTGCATATTAAACGACACGCCCACCCACGCTGACGTCAATGTGTCTCCCGACACGCGCGTATTATTATTATCGCGACGATGCGCCTGCCAGCCGCGGACTACCAGGCGCCTGCGTGGTACCCATGTCCCATAGAATAATAACAATAATAATAACTCGACGACGACAACGACGATGTGTGTATTCGTGGAACTCGAAAAGGATTGTAAAAAATATAATATGTCAAAAAACGACGATTTGGAATACGGCCACGGGCAAAACAAATATTTGGCGGAAACTCACGGAGTGCCACCGCCGCCGCAGCCGGTCCCCACTGCGCGCTCTGACCGGCTGATCAAACACGGCCCGCACACTGTAGACACTAGACACACGTTTATGATGCTCCTCATCTGCGTCTGCTCTCGTTTTTCGTATTCGCCACTGCAGGTGCAATCGATAATAAATCATCGGTACGTTTCGCCGTATATTCGAGAACGCGTAAAAAATTTTAAAATCCGACAACCGAAGGCGTGTTGAGCGAGATTTTTAGAATCGGCCGATCGACGCTAAACAGCGCCGTCCGAGGTAGGCGACCAATCGTACACGTCGGCGCTCAACTTCCGACCCGGGTACCGTTCGGGCGCCGTTTTATTTCGTGGTCATTGTCTCGTTGTTCCGGAATTGTTTGACCCTAGGTCTAGCTGCACGATGCACCTCACAACTACGGTCTTCGCCGCGTGCATGTGCATTATCGCTACACTGGGGCACGTCCAGCCGGCAGCGATTACTAGAGACGTGAACGAAACGGAAATGTTTTACTACGAAATTCGCCCGGAACTTTTTAACTGGACGAACGGTATTTTGGAATTTGATTCGAATATAATTTGAAATAGGTTAGACCACCCGGTCTCTCTTTCAGACGGTTTTAACACTTTATTTAAAAAAACAATCTAGGAGCAGATACCAAGTTCGTGTTCACGCCGTCCTTACAAAATTACCCAGACTTGCTACACTGGATACATTACAAATTCAACAGTAAAAATAGACACGGATACTTGTATGGAACGCCGCCTGCCGGTTCGGTGGACCGACAAATCCTAGTAAAAAATAAAATACATGTTTTCATAATGATTATTTATTATTCTTATAGGAACATTTATAGATTGGAATTAATACAGTGATTATTTTAGTGGAGGAACTAGGAACGTACATAATTTCAAGGAAATTATTAATAACGATACTACAATTCAGTGGCGTGCTCAGCGTTTTTGAAAGGAGGGGGTTTATGAATTTTTGACTTCTGAGACCACAGTATATATGTTACGGGCAAAGTGGAAAATTCGGACAATGTATACAATGGCCGAAGTATATTGGGCAATGTTAATTGTGAAGTATTTATACAAATAATCTGCATAATATTATTTTACCTAATCAATGATATTATATACTAATTTAATTATACTCGTTTATATGGTTATTTATATAAGAGTAATACAATTTTTTTTTAATTTATTAAATTTTAAATGTATTTAAAGGTAATGCAATAAAATATTATGTGCATAATGTTCAGTTATATGATATTATACATGAAATTCATTTGTCAATTAGACATGGAGGTAGAAATAGAATGGAACACGAGATTAATAGAAAGTACAAAAATATAACTAGAGATGTAATAATGTTATACTTAAATAATTACGAATCGTATAAAAAGAAGGGAAGTTCAGCTAAAAAAGGGTTAGTTGTAAAACCAATCATATCTTCTGAAATGAATTCTCGCTGTCAAATTGACTTGATCGACATGCAAGCACAATCAGATGGCGATTATAAGTTCATATTAGTTTATTAGGATCATCTAACAAAATATATTATGCAGATTATTTGTATAAATACTTCACAATTTACATTGCCCAATATACCTCGGACATTGTATACAATGCCCGGTCACTGTGTACAATGTCGGGCATTGTATACATTGCCCGAATTTTCTACTTTGCCCGTAACATATATACATTCATTACTTTATCATATATTTTATACGACGAAATTAAACCAGAGGGGAAGAATATGACCCCCCAGTGAGCATGCCTCTAGTATAATTTGAGATGCACATAATTTTAATATTTTATATTGCCATTATTTTTTTCACCCTCATCGTTGTTACAAAAACCATCAACTTTTGATATTTCAATGGCAACCTGCTATACTTAAATGTTTAGAATTTGATGCAGTCATACAGATTGGTTTTCTAAAAATGTATAATTTCTTTATTCTAGTGACCATATTTTGTAATTTAAAAGAGGGAAATAGTACAATAGGTTGACAGGATACACCCCAACAACTGTATGCCTTCATGTATTTTTTGTCATACATCATTTCTTTCATTAAGCATTTTTTTCCTCTAATTCTGTACTTTTAAGCAATAACAATAGATATTTCATATTCCGCTGGTAATTTTAATTTATATTTATTTAGTTAGATATTATTGGATTAAACAAAAAAACATACCAGATTGAGACACAAGTTATTCAATTAAACATTTTTGAAAGATCTGGTAAATATTAATCATGCATTTTGCAAATTAAGATTTTTATTTTTATTTGTTATAACTTATAAGTTTATATTAAAAGTATACCAATAAATATTTTTTTCACAGAATATGCAACAAATGAAGTAAGATTTAAAATTAATAACTTGAATGTGGAAGATATGTTTCATGAAGAACGCATACCATACTTGCTGGATATATTCAGACAAAATTTATGGTTGGGTAGTAAACAGGATTTGTATGTAACATTTCTAGCATCTGCTAGTGATCTAGGACAACGATTACCGTTAGACCCAAATGATACAGAGGGGTAAGTCATTTACGGTTAATAATTACCATCCATAATTGTATTTAAGAAAATTTTATACATGTCCATCAGTGTTATTGTCAATTTAGGAAGCACATCAAATTTTTCAACAATATTAAATGATCTCGAGAAAGAAATTAGTCCATTGCAAAAAATGAATAAATGTCCAAAGGATTTTAAAAGAACAACTGTTGAACGATATTTTCGAGCAAATGGTTTCAATTTGGACTGGTGCAGTTTCAAACTTGTATGTAAAATATAATACTTATTATAATAATATTTTTAGACTGAAAAATAAACACATAAAGTTAATGATATAATGTGCACTAATTAATATGTATCTTAATCAGAGAATATTAATTATGCACATGTATTAACACAACCTATCAAAAGAAAAATTGTTAGTCAGTACCTACTTAATAAAAATATTTACCAAAGTAAATTTAAAAAAAAACGATTTTGAATTTGTAATATTCAATGAAAACATTTTTACCTACTTCACATTTCTAGTGTTATTTTTTATACAACTTTTCCAGTTCCATATATTTATTAATACATAGTACAATTAAAAATATGAATATATTTAATTAATATATTTTCATTCATGGAATCAGGATAAATCATATTTTCAACTTAGATGTATTATTTTCTTAACTTTAGGTGGAGTTGACTATCATAAACCAGAATCACACTATGGATATTAAAGACAAAATATCTAGCACTAAACATGTGGAAGAAAATGTTTGGGAATTAATGGAATCTCTTCAATACAGTCAGTCCATGTATACAGATACTTCAAAATTAACCATTACATTATTTATTTTTATAATTCTTGTAATTGGGATTATCTTTAGCATTGGTGTATTTAGATGGTATAAAAAAAAAAAATTATTTTTTTGAAAAAAATAAACAAAAAATAAATTAAATTTAAATTATTTAAATTGTTTTATTTTTAAAGACATAAACTCTTAAATATATGTAACACAATTGATTGTTATGTTTGACACTTTCTCAGTATGTCAATTGTAAATGGATTTTAAACATTGTCCAGATTACAAAGATTAATTATTAGACTAAATAAAACATTAAAAGTTTTTAAAACTTGAATTTTCAATGTTTTTACAAATTAATTGAACTTAACCCACATAATATTATTTAAGGTAGTTTATTGTTTGTTTCCTAATTCTTTACAATAAAAATAAGCAAGTTGTTCTAAATACATGAACATACTTATGTAAGTTAAGAACAATATAATTTCAAAAACTAATTAATCAAACTAAATATTAAATTTGAAACAATAGTGCTTAAATTTTTCAAGGAAAGGTTAACATCAAAAACGCTTTGATAAAACTTTCTATACAATTTTAACTAGTAAATATATAAATATTAAAGCACAAAAAAAAAGAATAAAATAAAGAGAAAATGGAAGTTAAAATTATCGTTATACCATTTACAAAATAGATTTTCATTTGTTTAAAGATTTAAAATAAGAATGAAATAGTTTTTTTTTTTTTTTTTAAAAGTAAATTAATCAATGGAAAGTCAAAATTGTACTTATGAAAATTGGCATTCAGTAACAATAAGTGTCTGAGTTTGAGAGGTTTCAATACCATTTGGCTTGATACGCACATTTTGTAATGATCCCATGACGTCATCTTTATCCAGATCAGAAGAATTACTGTAACGTAAATATGCAAAACCTCTAGGGCCTCTCCAAGTAATATGCCTAAAAAATGGTATAACGTTATCTTAAATCTCTACAGCAAATATTATCATATTGTCGATACGTACAGTGGTTTAACTCCACGTTCCATTAAAGCAGCCTTTAAATCACGCACTCGAACATTATTTGCAATATTTCCAACTTTAAGTACAAATTCATCACCACTAGAAGATCTTGAATAATTTGGTTTTACATTTGAGTTATAGTATCCAATATGGTTGTTGTTGTTGTTATTGAAATGAGGTCTTGATTCTTGTGTATAGTCTCTCTGATAACATTAAATAAAAAATTAATTTGAGTTATTATTAAAAAATGTATGTATACTATACCTCATCAGATTGTGATGTCATTCCATTACGATATTGTGGTGGACGGAAAACTCTAGAACTGGTGTAATTATCCTGACGAGGTGCAGAACCTTTAGAATAGCTATTACGGCGAGAAATGACTCCGTCATAGAAACTATTTTGACGAGACAATGGATCGTTGGAGTAACTGTTATGACGAATGCCATGATGATTGATTCCACCATTTTGACGTGAATCTGGTCCATTAAAGTTATCGTGGCGTACCATAGGGCCATTGAAATATCTAGTAGGACGAACAGTCGGACCATTTAAATATCTGTTTTGTTGCATAACGGTTGACCTATTAGAATCATGTTGATGCGTTCTGCTGTTTGACCTTATGCTTCCATGATAAGATGGCCGTTCTTGAGAATAGCTGTTCTGACGATAATTTTGTGAATAATATTTTTTTGGACTAGGCAAATAATCTCTTTGAACTTTACGCCCAACAGACATTTCACGATCTTCACGATCAATATAATCACGTCTAGTAGCCCGCGAATTACTACGAGAGTTATATTTACTATTAGATTGATTGATGGATTGCTTATCAATATCATCTGAATTAATACGTTTGCGTGACTGCTTTGGACGAGGCCGACGTTTATTTTTGGGAGTATCCATGGATGGTGAATCAGCTTGTGTACCATTAGAACTTTTGGACTCAGTTACTGTTACTGGTGATGTTACAGTCTTAGCAGATTCTGATTTTGTACGACGTTTGTTAGGTTTTTTGGAAGAAGAACGAAGTTCTTTTTTATCATGTTGATTATTACGTTTTTCAGTTGAACTACTGCGATGCTGTTGGCTTGAAGTAGATTTAGCACGTTTATGTTTGATCTTTGAGTCAGTATTTTTAGAAACAGGTGCTGATGAATGCCTGGAAGAAGACCGATGATGTTTTGATACATTATCTTTAAATACTGAGTCATTGGTTTCAGATCGGGTTGAATAACGTTTTTGACGATATCTGTTTTGAAAATAAAATTATTATAGTCTTATAAGTAAATACAAAAATAAGTTAAAATAAAAATTTTACCCTTTAGGTTTTTTATAGGTTCTTGGTGAAGGAGGTATTTCTTCAGGTTCACTGTCCACATCTTTGAGAGTACAATCAAAATCGTTGCTTTGTTCTTGTTTCGTACGTAATAATTGCAAGGGTGGCATTTCCAATAACCTCCGTTTAGAAATGTAATTCCAAAACACGTCCTTGGGACGATCAAGACGATTCTCCACCCGTATAATCTCATTAGATGTAATAATTATGTCTACAGGTACATCATAAGGCTTGAAAATGTCAGTTGGAAGTGTGTCAAATACCTTTAAAAAAAATTTAATTTAATTTATTTTAGGTAAAAATTAATTAATGTTTTCCTGAAAAGTTTTTTAATTTATAAATAATAGAAAGTGAGTAAAATGAAAAAAAAATATGGTTAGGTCTGGTATGTAAAAATACATTTATTAAGGGGAAAAGCTAACATTGCCAACCTGATAAATTCAAATACTCACATTATACCTAATAATAATTTATTTATAAATACAATAACATTCATTGATAAATGTAAGTTTCAAGAAAAGAAAGAAAAAAATGATAAACAAAGCGTTACAAAAAATTGATAACTTCAAAACGAAGTCCAACCAACAGATTCTGATTCCATAATTGCTCTAAAATAGTAATATTAAGCAAGTTCCAAAAAAAAAAATTCAAAAAATATACTAAGGATGGTACAGTGCATTTTAGCCAAACATACCACTGGTGGTAAACCCAAGGCAGTATGCATTCCCTATCCCTATCTTTTACCATTATAATAAAAGCAGTAAGCTGGCAGTAAATTTATTGCAGCATGAAAATTTTATTAGGTAGCCTGTAACGCGTTAATGCTAAATTAATATTATATTAATAACATATCACATACCTGCACATCATGTACAATAGTAACTACTACAGTATTATCAGTCACCATATTCAAAGAACTTAAGATGACAAATTCTAAATCACAAAATCCATTTCCAATTCCAATTCTGCGACCTAATGATGAAATAATTTTTTTTTCAATAATAATGATTAAAAAAACAAACTAAGTAGTATATTACCTTTTTTATCAACAGCAACAGATCCCAGAATAATCATATCTATATGAACATCATTATTTTGATCCAAAGTTATTAATTTATTTCCCCATTTACGAAGTCCTTTTTGAGTACTAGCTGACCTCAGCATTTTTGCTGATGGTTCAGCAAATGGCAAAGACACATTTTGCAAGAGTCCTTCCTTTAAACGAAGCAATGGAACCAATAATCTCTTACCCCACTAGAAAATGAAGGTTAAGTTAGTTAATTTTATTATTTACATTAAGTATCAATTTGAAATTAATAGCAAAAATTGGGTAATTGTAATTAATGTTTGCCTGCATATAACCTGAAATAGAATCAAATAAAAACTCACATTTAGTGTCAGAAAACGAGCTGTTTCTTGAGCTTTATCAGGAGTGACTTGCACAGTTTTTGCTTTTTTAAATTCTTCCAACTTTTCTAATAATAGTGAAACGTTATTACATCCTTTGAAATTTGGTATACGGTTAAAGCAAGGTTTTGGAAATATAACTAGAGAATTTTCTTCCATAAATTCCCAAACTTTTTGACGAATATCTTTCTTGGATGTTTGCTCTAATATGACACTGTCATCAATGCGCACTGGTTTACTTTCTAAGCCTACATCTAATGCAAGATAGCCATCATTCAGATTACATTGTTTGGTTTCATTTTCTTTAACTTCGTTCATATTATCAACATCTTTTATTTCTTTCTCATTAGACTGCACACTTACATCTTGTTTAACCTCTTCATTAGACTCACTTGTTCCATTTTCTACTATAACCGAATGTTGCTCATTAGAAAGTTCAGTATTTTCCATTTTCAAATCAACAGAGCCATTAACTTTGTTTGTATCGGTTCCATCAGATTTACTGTCATTACATTCTTTGGTTACTTCAGTTTTAGGAGAAGCTATAAATATAAAACATACAATTTAATAGTCATTATGAATATGGTGAATACAGAATCAAATAAAATGTTAAGAAAAAGATATTATAACAACAGTATACACTATGTACTCATAGATTATAGGTAATTATTAAAATATATAATTAAATTGAGCACAAAAAGGCTGTAGATGAGAAGTATTTAAACTATTTTATCACACGACCACATGTCTGTTGTCAAAATTATTAGACATGCAAGCAAAATATTTTTAAGATTAATTATTTATAATAATATAAATTCATCAAGCGAACAAATTTAATAATAATTATGAACAGAGGCATTTCTCTGTTCGATATGGCTCAGCTTTAAGTGACTTATCATTAATTAAAGCTGGAGTACCGCAAAGAGCTGCAGCGGCACCTCTTCTGTTCAATCTGAACACATCAGACCAACCCACTACCAACCTCTTCACCATTGGTGACTTTGCAGACAATAAAGCCATCCTAGCCCTCCACCATGACCCACTCCAGGCATCTAACAGAATCCAAACCCACCTCGACATCCTCTAAACATGATACAAAAAACGGGGATTCAAACTCAACAAATCCAAATCCATCCACATCCACTGCACTTTCACTCTCAGACCAATAAGCTGCCCCTCCAGCTCACTTAACAACCAACCTCACCAAATCGCTCAAAATGTCAGATACCTAGGTCTATACCTAGATTGCCGACTCACGTGGGCTACGCACATACATAACAAACGTTATGTTTGTTTTGTTTCGCCTTTTCCTTTCATCCAAATATGTCACTCTACATAATAAAATCCTTATGTATAAGGTACTCCTCAAACCTATCTGGTCCTATAGAATCCAACTCTGGGGATCAGCCAGACTCCAACATAAACCAAATCCAAACATTTTAGATTCTAAATGCCGCCAGCAGATAACTAAAGCTCCTTTTTATGTATCGAATGATACCCTCCAAAGAGACCTCCTCATTCTGATGTCGCTAAAACCCTATAAAAACGTTTCTACTCTAAACTTTCAAATCATCGAAACCCTCTCATCCAAAACCTCTCCTCTCGAACAATTACGGGTGACCCTGGCCAACATTTAAAGTTTAGTTGGTGCCGTGATCTACTAATCGACTAGTTGACTAGTCCACTAACTACTACTATCCCACCATGAAGTGTTATTATTGAAGTAACTTCTTCAATCAAGCCAACCATGACCGATGACCTACTATGTATCCCTCCATTGGGTTTATTGTTAATATGTGTATACAGATTGTAAAAATATTAAATAAATGTCAAAAAAAAAAAAATTTTGAACAGAAAACTGAAATTAAATGTTCTACATTTAGAATAAAAAAATATATTATTGTATTATATTAATCGTCAAAATGGTTATTATTTTCACTTCTATGCTACAGCTCGGTTAACAAATACTGGAGACATATAGTTTGAATACCTCTGCCCTAGACTATAGCTAAAATTTACTAACCAGAAACAGTGGGACTTGTTGGTGGTGATTTAGACACGGGGCTCCTCAATGATTGATTAAGTTTAGCCTTATTTGATTGAGCAAGTCGTTCAGCAAGGCTAGGTGATTTATTACTTCCTGGGCTTGATTTAGTTGAAGATGGGGAACGTCCAGATTTGGAAGGGCTTGATGAAGCACTTTCAGATTTGGAATTATCATCAGAGGACTTAGGGCTCTTCGGAGAACCAGTTGTAGTTTTTTGTTGACTCATGTTTCCAGAAACTACTAGTTTTGGGCTAGGCGGATTTCTTAATTGTAAACCTTCGTTAGGAAATTGTTGTAGATCTAATCAAATAAAAAAAATTATTTCAAAACATTATAACTAAAATTGTATTAAAATCAACATGATAAAGAAACTTAATACCTAGGTACATAATATATTTATATCTAATATTTAATTTATCAATATGTTTCAAAAAGATCACCCACCTACCTATCATTTTTAATTTTTAACTTCTAGATACAGTAAAAATATTAATTTAAGAGGACACCACAACCTGCATGTATTGTCCTTGTCTCAAGGTACGGTTTCCAAGGAACGGCTAGTCTAGACTCTAGACTAGTTGCAATGAGATCTCTGCTATGGAACAACATTAAAGTCTCTGCGGCCGATTACAGTACTGGTCTATAAGCAGTATCTGGAGCACCTGGTCGCTGGGAAACCATACCTTTACAGGCATACATACAACACGACACACTTGTGTTCAGCAGTTTCAATTTTGTTTAATATAATTTTATAACACAGAAAATGTACCTAATAAAATTTAAAAGCAAGTACATCGATTAGGTTTCTCAAGAAATTTTTAATTAAGCAAGTTAGTTCTTCCGGGCTTCCCTACAAGACACCCTTCAGTAGTGAAATCAGTCTGATGCCAGAGTTCCCTATGGAGATGAGAAGAACTGGTGGTCTCTCACTGGACAGAGTATAAGTAGGTATTACCATATAAATCAAGCTTATTTTTAGTTGGATACATACTAAATTATGTATTGTGTAGATAATGTGTAAGATATAGAAATTATAGATACCTATTTTATATTAAATATATTAACGATGCGAAATGTATGTATTTATATAGAACCACGTCCATCGTCAGTCCATAGGTAGGCACAACATAAATATGACACGGACAATAAATTATTCAAGGGAAAAATAACAGAATGTACGATAGGTACAATACTTCGAGAAACGAGACAAAACTAATTAATATACATGCCACAAAGATAGAGAATAAAATACTGAAGTCTCAGAATAGTTATTATATGCACACATAAAAAAAAACGCCTGCGACATCGGGCGTCGAAAAAATCGACGGTCTCAAGAAATTCGACAACGGGGAGGGCACAAAACACACGGTATAAAATACTTAATATTAATATCGTCGACGACGTTTACGGTTGTAAAGAGGACGACGAACGCCTATAATACGTTATAGTAAGCGTATGCATAGAAATATTGCAATATTTTTCGGGCCAAAATGGCGGAGTGAACGACGACGAACAATGTTTGAGCGAGGTGAAAAAGACGTCGAACGTAGGTACGACGATATCGATACGAAATTACAACAACTACCGCAATTGCCAGCTTTATCGCGCGGGGGGGGGGGGACGTAATATTCGCAAGATTTACAATTTCATTTTCACTGTACTTACGCGGTGTGGAAACGCTCGCGCGACGGACGTCGAAGACTTGCAACACACACACACGTCGTATGGACCCACTATGGACCGGATTTCGTTTTGCATACGACGAGCGATTAATAATTAATAATTCAATAAATCAATGATGTGATATATTATTGTTGACGACGAGGCGGCGGCGGCGGCGGCGGCGGCGAGGTTTTTCTTAATGCGGAGGCCGCGAGTGGGGGTGGGTAACGCGCGTTAAAATGGATACTTACGGGAGTTGCCCATGGTGTGCCGGCCAAAGGTAACCAGATAAATGTGTGCGCCGTTGGACGTCGCCGGCGGCGTTACGTGCGGCGGAAAAACGCTGGCGTGATGGACGGGAGGAGTGGAGAGTTACCGAACGAAAAGAATATTACAACGCTGTTCTCGCCCTCCTCCGACGACGGGTGAATCGTTGACTGTCGTGTCGTTGGCGACTGGCGGACTGCGGTCTCTGTGTCTCCGTGGCGCGGCGTCGTTTGGTCGAGACGGGTTCGCGGCGAGCATCGGACTTCGGAGTGATCAGTGATCGAACCGAAAGCTGCGGCCAGCGACCGACCGGCCTCGGCGGCGGCGGCCCCGGGCCAATGGGAACGCGCGACGCGGCCTCGCCGCACTCGTCCCGGGATTCCCGACTCTCGTCCGTCTATTTTTAGCACCGCGCTAAGAAGAGTGTACGCCGATTCGCGATAGCGTTCGATCCACCTTTTTCGTAATTATACTTTGGCGTAATAATTACAATCGTTATCGCGTGCACGCGCCGTTCTTTATTGCGGATAACGAGCAAATTGTTGCGTTTTTCCTAATAAATAATTATTATTTTTACCTTCACAACTATCGTCCGATTGGCGTTATTACACGGAATATTCAGTGGTTACTATGCCTACACATTTGTTACGTAAAATACTCATTGAATAACATTGTTATTTGCCGATAATACCCACAACACTCTCGATGTAATATTATAATAATCGAAATTCGATGTGTATACATTCGATGTATGTAATAATATTATTACATAAATTATCAACTTTTGGCCTTTATAATAAAAACATGATAATTAAATAATAATATTATTTGGTTTTTAGAAATATTAGATCATAGAAAACTATAACCCGCAGAATGCCTTAAGTCAAAACAAGTGTATATTAATTAATTGCCATTATATTTTTTTGTTTCATTACAACATTTAATTTTCACTAGTATCTATAACATGAATTGGTTTACTTAAAACATTTAAAAAAAAATGAAATTTGAACTAAAGTAGATGTTTAAGCACCCTCATTTAAGTAGGTCACTCTTACCAATATTATACTACGTGTTTGATTTTAATAATAAATCATTGATCACGAAAAACTATGATACCCATGGAGGTATACCTAATATACCCATTATATTATGTCTTCTAGGATATTTTATAATTTATTTAATTAAATTTATTTTTTGATTAGTATTAATTTTAATAGCCAATTATAGGTAGGTATCTACAGTATGTTGAAAACTGAATAAACTGTGTTTTACATACAAAATTATTGTCAACTTAGAAGTTAATACTTAATACCGACGTTCAGTAGTAAATAGTTAAAAGGTTTATGGTATAAAATATAAATAGTTAAATATTTTATATTTTAAGGAGCTTTTAATTATTTTAAAACTTTATTCTGTAATCTGTATACAAAATAATTTATGGTAATAGTTTCAAGTTACTGCTAACTACGATAAATATACTTTTTAAATACAAGTATACAACCAATTATTAAATAAGTAATAAATAAAATCTACAGAGGAAAGTCGTGATTTATTATTCCAACACCTTAATTCATCGAATATTGACAAAAAAAAATGTGCATAATAATTTGTACTTGTTAAATATACCTATTAAGAATAAAAAAAATTGTTGGAAACCTCGTTTTGTATTTTCAAGCCGTAGATATAAAAAAGTGTGTTACTATTCACTACTTAAAAATAATTAAAAGTTTTTGTAATTTTGTTTATACAATAAAATTGTGGATAATATGTATTTTCGATGTGTTTAATTATTGATGGGAAAACGTACGACGAACCTTGTAACAAATTACACGCTTATAAATAAAAAAAAATGATCAACTTTTTAAAAAACAAAAACAAAAAACATTCAAAATTTTCAAATACATAGAAATATATGTAGGATATGTTGTACCCACGACCCACGTAGCACACGTTCTTTCGTCGTTTTACTAACGCAGAAGTAATATATCAAAATGTACGACGAGCAGTTCCAATTTTGTATTGTTAGCTTAAATATTGGTGTGAATTGACGTATCATCAAATTTTAATGCAAAAACATAATATTTTGTATTCCCTCGTTGGTTTTTTATGATATTTTAATTTTTAAGAGAGTAATGTATTATGATATGTAAAGTATATTGACATGTTGTGAATTTATGTGTTACTAAAATAGAGAAAACATATGCAAGTACAACACTACGACGTCCTCTTAGAACTTAAAATAAATCTAAATATTTTTAAAATGTTCAAGTGTTTAAGAAATGATAAGTTATAGTTTAATATTTCAATATTCGGCAATGAATGAATAAAATAACGAAAATCGTTCTAAGAGATCGTTATTTAACGATTGAATATCCTATTTTGTCAAAGTTTAAATTAAAAAATTAAAATTATTATTAACAACGCATTTAATTTAGAAGCAAATAAATATAAAAAATCTACAAAAAGTGTAAAATTATATCATATCTATATAGATAAAGGTATTGAACAATTTGGTAAACTGTTCAAGTATTTACAGTAATTTATTTTATTTTATTTTTGAATAATAAAAACATAGTCGAAGACTAATATTACGTAAATATTACTATTTTATTGTAATTTTTTTTAGTTTTTTTTTCAATAATTTTGAAAAGTATGAAGATTTTTCCCAACAATAATTTTCTACCAGAAACCAACCAAAGTTGATGATGCACCGTTTTTAAAGTTTACATTACATAACAATTTAAGACAATCATTATAAAACAAATAAGAATATTGATCGCTCTACTCAGGATCTAAAAGAATAACATTTTGATTTTCTTAAAGTGAACTGACTTACAGATGTATCATAATGCAATTAGAAAATTATTAAAAATAATAAACATGAGTAACAAATATTCATATTATTCATCCATCATTGATATATAATACATTCCACATTAAACAAAAAATAAGTTTGACTTTGTCTTCCAATGTCCAAAATTTAAGTTATTAATTTGAATTTTTTTTATATTTTATAGGGTACTTTACAAATTGAATAGTGGTCCTTATTATAGGTATAAATTGAAATAAAAAATAAATATACTGCATATTACTATAGGTGTATTAGTATATACCAGGGGTGGTCACTGGTATTACTATACCAGTGGCGTCTATGAGCTATCTTAAATCGCAATAGTGTATGTATTGGACTAATACACATACTTTCCTCAAGTGATTGGGTAGGTACTGAGTGCAGTGGCATATCCAAGGGGGATGTTTGGGGGTTATGACACTCCCATTGAGCTGTGTGGTATTTAATTAGTACACGAATTAAACTTGAAAGTAATATTAATTAAATTTCATAACGTATTAATATCATCTATTGTCCTAAAGTCCTATTGATCATAACGGACATAATGTATATATATTTTTGTTAGTTAAAATCAAATTAATAGTAATTATAGTTGTATGTATATTTTACAATATTTCTGATACCCCCTTATAAAATCTCAGTTACGCCACAATCAGGTCGATTCGGATGGGAATTTTATAAGTATTTAAAATGACTTTTGTTAAGTTGGATACACAAAGTATACAAACAATAACCACTTCTGGTATATACCATGAGTCAAATTATTTATTTGACATTTTTACAAAATTGTCATCCTACTTTTTCACATGTATAATGTTTCCGCTGTTTAAATATTAAATTAAATTATCAATATAGGGAAAATCTAACTATTAGTTTTATCGTTTTGATATCATTATAAAATCGCGATTGTGTCTGCCTATACAGTATATGGATTAGTGATTTATTGTGTTAGAGCCTTATTCTATACAGGTAATAAGTACCTACTTATCTAAAATCTAAAGATATTTATTTCCGTTTTACTTAATGAAACTTGTTTTGATGTAATGCTCACAGTACATTTAATTGATACTATCAAATATTTTATTTTTATTATATATTATTATGTTTGATGAGACTAAGTATCATGATACTTAAGATAACGTGAACGCAACACGATTGATAAACTGGGGATATATGATATTTATCACTATTTTTAACACAATGTAGTAAATATTAGTAGTTATTAAAACTGACTTATAAACTTAGTACATGAAACAATTTCGAATTATTTTTCTTAACAGGATGTCAGCGCACCATTTGTGTTAAAAGTTATAAGCTACCTAATAAGATAGGGTTAGTTCTTGTAAACGTAAATTGTCTATGTTGCGTGTGAGTCGGAGAGAGAAAACAAATGGTGAGCTGACCATGTTATATTTGTCATATCCTTTTACACATCATTTGTCGTCTTACATAGGTAGTAACTAGTAAGTAGTTTAATTTAATAAAGAATATTTTTATGAATCAATAGTTTATTATGTAATATTATATAATATATAACTATATAAGTAAATGTAATATTTAACTGAAATAAGCATTGTAATTTGTAAGTATTGTAAATTAATGGTAAGAAATGTTAACACATTAAAAATTATATTATAGGTAGAATAAACCTAAAATAAGATAAAAGATTTTCTTTAAAACACCTTATTCAATTATTACATATTTTATTTGTGAATAATATTTGATTTTGATTTACTAGTTATGACTATTTAAGTGTGATCATTGAAAACTTAAATGTTTATTTTATAATTTGAAGACCATAATAATTAATACTTGTAGAGTTTTAAAGTTAACGCCTGACATTAAAATATATAGTAAACTTATGATTATGAATACATTTTTTAAAATTGTCTCCACTGAAAATAACTTAAAATCAGTATTTATCATTAATGACATAATATATGACTATAATAATAGTCATATCATTATAATTCATAAGTATAAAAATATAAAAATATCAATTTATTTTCTCGAGAAAGTTTTACCCAAATAATGACTTAATAAATAATAGCTAATTTATTTATAAATTTCTTAAAATAATTACTAAACATTATTTAATATTTAACATATTATTAACATGAAAAAAAGGTGGGAATATAAAACGTGTGTTATAAATTCATATGAGTACAACATATTATGACATGCTTTTTTTTTAAAGTTACTATTATAATATATTAAATATAATTTATCTTCGAGGATCTATGAATTAAAAAAAATTTTTTTTATAAAGAATTATTTTATACCCGTGTAAACTTAAGAGGTGTCACAAATGTGTGATTTCCTCCTCATGTTATTTCTCTGTCAACTGTGTAAATATTATTAATATTACTTATTGTACAAAAATGTATAGATTGTAATTCTCCAAATAAAGTCAATTATTTAAAAAAAAAAAAAAC